CGACGACTTCTCGCGGTACACCACGGTCTTCCCCTTGCGCACCAAGGGTGAGGTCCCTGCTGTCCTGATCCCTTAGATCCAAGCAGTTTGTCTCCGGCTCCGCCGCAGGCTCCGCCAGGACCTTCCTGTCCTGCATCTGCACTCTGACAGAGGTGGTGAGTTCACCTCCGACCTCTTGCGGGCCTTCTGTCAGGGGGAGGGCATCGAGCAGTCGTTCACACTTCTGGGCTCACCACAGCAAAATGGGGTTGCTGAGCACCGCATTGGCTTAGTCATGGAGGTCGCTCGTACCTCCTTAATTCATGCGGCGGCTCCCCATTTTCTGTGGCCATTTGCGGTCCGGTACGCCGCGCAGCAGCTCAACCACTGGCCCCGTGTCTCCTTGTCGGAGACCTCGCCCACAATGCGTTGGACGCGGGAGGTTGGCAATGCGTCGCGTTTCCGGGTCTGGGGTGCTCGTGCCTTTGTCCGCGATACGTCCGCGGACAAGCTCTCCTCCCACACCATTCCCTGTGTCTTCCTTGGCTTTGTCCTTGATGCGCCTGGCTGGTAGTTTTACCACCCTACCTCGTGCCGTGTCTTCCCCTCTCAGGACGTCACCTTTGACGAGCCGGTTTCTTTCTACCGTCTCTTCCCCTAACGCACAGCCCCTCTCCCTCCCCCGCTGCTTTTCCTCGCTCCACGTCCCCCTCAGGTAGACCCCCTCCCTCCTCAGGGTCCTGCTCCTTCAGATGTGTCTCACGTAGACCCGCCCCCCTTGGCTGAGCCTGTAGAGGTCACTAGCGACTCAGGTGCTGCTGTGGGAGGTGCTGATGGGGGTGCTGCTTCTGAGGGTGCTGAGCTTGCGCGTGAGGTGCTGGGGAGTGCGGAGCCTGGGGGTGCTGAGCCCATCCGTGAGGTGCCGGGGGGTGCGTAGCCTGGGTGTGCTGAGTGTGCTGGCGTTCCTCTGGGTCGTTTCACGACGCGGGCCCGTCTCACCACAGCAGGCACGAGAGTGGCTTGCGTCGCGTACCCGCCTGAGGAGTCGTGCTGCTTGCCGTGGAGGCGCTTAGAGTGCCGGTGTCTCTGGTCCTGGAGGTGCTCGTACTGGAGGTACTGGAGCTGCCGGGACTGGTACTGCTCCTGGAGCTGGAGGTGTCAGTTCTGGGGGTGCTGCTGGTGGAGGTATTGGGGCTGGAGGCCCTGGAGCTGGTGCTGTCGACCCTGGCGTTGGAGACCCTGGAGCTGGAGGTGCCGGTTCTGGGGGTGCTGCTGCTGGAGGTACTGGGGCTGGAGGCCTTGGAGCTGGTGCTGTTGACCCTAAAGTTGGAGACCCTGGAGCTGGAGGTGCCGGTTCTAGGGGTGCTGTTGCTGGAGGCCCTAGCGCTAGTCCTGTCGACCCTGGAGTTAGGGACCTTGAGGCTGGAGGTGCCGGTTCTCGGGGTGCTGTTACCGGTGGCGCTCGAGTTGGAGGTTCTAGAGCTGCTGGAGGCGCTGGAGCTACTGGTACTGGTGGCACTGCACCGTCGCGACTATTTTTTGCTCCGCCGTCACCATCGTCTCTACCATCGCGTGACTCCGTGCTCCGCCAGGTTCTTAGCCTCCCGTCTTCTAATGGCCTCCCATTACAGCCCGGCGCACCATTGCCTACTCCTTCTCCTTACACTGAGCAGATATACTCACTTACAGAGCGTCGTAAGCCTGCGTCTTGTCCTGCCTCGCCTGTTCGCGTGCGTCGCACTGGTCGTCGTGCTCCTTGTGAGCATCCGCCTCCTGTCCCTGGCACGCACGCTATGGCACTTCGTCCTTCCTCTTTTCCACAGCGTGTTCCCCTACCGTCTCCTCCTGCGTTTTCTCTGCCTGGCGTTCAAGATCCTGAGTCTGACTTGGTTCGTGCTGCTCACCCTACTTTCACGCGTCCGCACGCCTCTGTTGTCACTGACCCGTCATTTGAGTCTGCTGCTGCGTTTGCTATAGTCTCTGAGCTTGTTGACTTTGCTGCTGCATGTCGTCTCGACTATGCTGCTAGTCTTGTTGCTGAGTCTGAGTCTGTCTGTCCTCCGTCCGTCGGGGGTGAGTGTACTCTTGGCACGGACGTCCTTGAGGACAGGCAGGAGGACTTTGAGTGTCTTGCAGCCACTGCGCCTCATCTCGTGGCCATGCTGCTTGCCTCTGAGGGAGACCCGGATGCACCAGACATCCCAACTCCGCATTCTTACGCTGAGGCGATCGCGGGTCCCTACTCCTCTCAGTGGCAGACAGCCATGGAGGCAGAGATGGCATCATGGAAGTCCACAGACACTTACATCGATGAGGTTCCCCCTTCTGGGGCGAACATCGTCGGTGGCATGTGGATTTTCAGGCTGAAGCGGCCGCCGGGTTCTCCGCCTGTCTTCAAGGCGTGTTACGTTGCACAAGGCTTCAGTCAGTGACAGGGAGTTAAATTCTTCCAAACCTTCTCCCCTACCCCAAAAATGACCACTCTTCGGGTGCTACTGCACGTTGCCGCTCAGCATGACTACGAGCTTCACTCTCTGGACTTCAGCACAGCGTTCTTATAGGGCAGCCTGCACGAGGAGATCTGGCTACGCCGCCCACCTGGCTTCATTGGGTCGTTCCCTCCTGGTACCTAGTGGAGCCTGCGCCGACCAGTCTACGGTCTCCGTCAGGCGCCTCGTGAGTGGCACGACACACTGAGGACTACACTTGCGGCTCTTGGGTTTGCCCCTTCCACTACTGACCCGTTGTTGTTTCTACGCACCGACACTTCACTGCCGCCGTTCTACATCCTCGTATACGTCGACGACTTGGTCTTTGCCACTGCTGACACAGAGGCTCTCGCCCACGTGAAGTTGGAGCTGCAGAAGAGACACACGTGCACAGACCTAGGTGAGCTGCGCAGTTACCTTGGCTTGGAGATCACCCGGGACAGAGCACGCCGCACCATCACCCTGACTCAGTCACACATGGTGCAGCAGGTCCTTCAGCTCTTCGGCTTCACTTGGTCCTCGCCACAGTCCACTCCTCTGGCTACAGGTCACTCTCTCTCAGCTCCACCTTCAGACGAGTCCGTAGAGCCGAGTGGCCCGTACCCAGAGCTAGTGGGCTGCCTCATGTACCTGATGACCTGCACTCGTCCTGACCTCGCGTACCCTCTTGGCCTTCTGGCACGCTACGTGGCTCCTAGTAGGCACCGAAAGGTGCACATGGATGCTGCGAGGAGGGTATTGCGCTACTTGTGCAGTACATCGGGCATGGGGCTCGTGTTTGGAGGGTGGAGCTCAGTTGTCCTCACTGGACACTCAGATCAGACGCTTCTTGGGTTGACGACCTGGCTACGCAGCGGTCGTCACAGGGTTACACTTTCAGCCTTGGCTGCGGCTCTGTTTCTTGGCGGTCTACCCGCTCGTCTTCTTATCTCAACTCCAGTTGTGATGTTGAGATCTACGCCACAGCCATGACTGCACAGGATTTACCCTGGCTCACCTACCTGCAGACTGACTTGGGAGAGCGGCCTCGTTCTCTTCCAGTTCTATACGTAGACAACAAGACCGCCATTGCCTTGTGTCAGGAGCACAGACTGGAGCACGGAAGGAAGCACATCGCTCTGGGTTGCTTCCTGGCTCGAGAGTTGCAGCAGTGTGGTCAGCTTCGTCCTGCTCACGTGGCCACTCGGGCCAACACTGCTGATATATTCACCAAGGCACTTTCGTCTGGTGATCATCAGCGCTTCTGTACTACCGTAGTTTCCCGGATAAAACACCCCCTTGTAATTGTAGACCCACGGGTAGCTAATACGGGGTGGGTGTTATATCCGACCCCGTTAGTACTATACCCCCCTTTTTGGGGTGATTCTCTACAACACCCCTTTTTCTTATAGATTCCTATTATAGATGTTATCGAGTCCGATTCCTTACGGGAGGATATCGCGAAAATCACTTCCCTAAAGAAATTTCGCATGTACTTTCACTTAGAATCAGCCGAGATATCCCCCCTCCCACAATCTCGTTGTCGCCACGCTGGTGAATCCCAAAATCTCGCTGTCGCCACACTGGCGAATCTTCCACTGCAAGTGGTCCAAGAGGTGAAGTGGCCCAAGTGGCCCACAATATCCTTGTACTCGGTTTTGCGGCATTGATAAACAATCTTGAAGTGAAGTCAGACCCCTGATTTTGTTTCACATCTTTTATGTTTTATAAAAAATATACCACATCATAAGACCCGGGTATTATATAGGATTTTCCTTTGAGGAGACCCCCCCCCATTTTTTTCCAGTGGTTTTCATAATACCCTAGGGTGTTTTATCCGGGAGAATACGGTATGTTAGGCCTTGTGCCTGTTTCGTCTCACTTGCTCACTACGTGATTTTGCTTGTACCGGTACTGTGAACTATATTTATACCCGCATGCTTGCTCTTGCTAGGTATTGATCACTGTGTTGCTGTTGTTGCATATATACCTCTGCATGTGAACTGGCCTTGTGGCTCCTTGTGTGTGCTCAGTGTGTGTGGTGACGTTGTGATCCACCCTGAACTTACTTGGCTTCTCTTGACTGGTCTTGTGACCCTTAGCTCTCCCCCACTTTGCCTATGGGGGTGTGTCAAACTATATATGAGCTAGTTCTGTGGAATCTATAGTGGGATAACCCGTATGGGGTACAACCCGAAGTTAGGGTTAATACTTGTACCCACAGTTCATTCAATGCAATCATTCCTGCTTGCTATCTTGACACCCGCGTCCTACTTGAAGAAGGCTTATCTACAGAAAATTGATTGGAGGAGGTGCGGCATTCTGCCTACTAACCTTTTGAGCATAGAATTCAGAGCCACTCCCACCAGCGGAGGCTCCATCAGAGGAAGGCTTTATCTATCTACTGCTCATTTAAGCTGAGAAGGGCGAGAGGGCGGGCTTGTTTGTCTGTGCCTGCAGCAGGAGAGGCTTCTCCACGCTCTCGAGTACCTCAATCACTTCCAGCAGGGAAGGCTCTATCAGGGAAAGGTGTTATCTAAGGGAAGGCGTTATCTATGCTGAGAAGGGAGAGAGCGCGGGCTTGTTTGTCTGCGCCTGCAGCAGAAGCGCCTTCTCCACCCCCTCGAGCACCTCAATCACTTCCATGAAGGACGGGCGAGCCATCGGGTCTGCCGCCCAACACCGGGATACCAGGCTGTGACGATGGGAGAAGGAAAAGGGAGAAACAGTAGAGTGAGTGGTTAGGGGGAGAGGGTGGGGGAGGCAGAGATGTGGGAAACCATTACCGCACTCTAGATTCCCTTGGCACCCTTGGGAACCTTGGCACCTCGACTTCTCCACCCCCTCGAGCACCTCTATCACTTCCATGAAGGACGGGCGAGCCATGGGGTCTGCCGCCCAACACCGGGATATCAGGCTGTTGGGGGTAAGAGTGCAGGAGAGAAATAGCAAGAGTGAGGGGAAGAGACGAAGAGAAGGAGAGAGGGAGTGAGGGAGTGAATAGGGGGAGGGAGGGGAGGCAGGGCTGTGGGAAAGCAGGAGGGGCGAGACACCTCGAGCACCTCTATCACTTCCATGAAGGACGGGCGGGACATGGGGTCAGCCGCACAACACCGGGATATCAGGCTGGTGAGTGAGAGAGGGAGTGAGGGAGAGAGGGGGAACACGAGGGAGAGACGGAGTGAGGGAGAGACGGAGTGACGGTGGAGGGAGAAGGAAGCAGAAACGTGGGAACCCAGTAGGCGATTTCTACAACTGTTTAGAACATGACTTCAACAGCCCGAGACACAAACACTTCCTGAAACCCCAGACTCGACCCCTGCAATTATGGCTCCATTTGAGGCGCCTTAACAGTTTAACCCCAAAGAGAGCACAGCACCTGACACAGCACCTGACATAGCATGTGACACAGCACCTGAAAGAGTTGCTGACACAGCACCGGGCTAGGACCTGAAAAAGCACCTGACCAACCTCACATACATACTGACTCACTCTTTGACCCCCTCGGGGTATGCCTTGGATTTGAAGGGCGGCCTGATGCCCTCCATCCATTGCCACCTTGAACCCTTAGACCCAGCGCCCTGAAGCCTTGTGAACCAGAAACCCTGAAACCCTTGAATCACGGCGCTCAAACAGCATTTTCACTCACTCTTTGACCCCCTCGGGGTACGCCTTGGACTTGAAGGGCGGCCTGATGCCCTCCATTGCCACCTTCCATGCCACCCCCTCTGGTGTCATGGTCTTGGCGAAGGGCGGTAGACCCTCAAACATCTGGGGGGTTAGAGGGGAGGAGAAGAGGAGAGCGGAGGGAAGACACAGAGAGAGGCAGAGAGGATAGGTGCTCCATAGAGTGGGGGTTTGATGCCCTCCATTGCCACCTTCCATGTCTCCCTCTCTGGCGTCATGGTCTTGGTGAAGGGTGGCAGGCCCTCAAACATCTGAGAAAGGAGTGGTGGAGGGAAGCAGCAGGCAAGGTGATTTTTGAGTCGACTAAAAAATCATCTGAGAAAGGGGGGGAGGGAAGCAGCAGGCAAGGGGAGGACGGGGGAAGGATGCAATAGGAAAAGTCGCGGAGATGGGATGGGGAGGCAGCAGCAGGGAAGGGCGGGACCACAACAAGCAACATCTCAGCCGTCGTCCATCGCATCTCACCTGGCAACGAATCTCAGCCGTCCATCGCATCTCACCTCATAGAAGATAACGGAAGAGGAGTAGTCGTCCAAAGTGCAATTGGCAGGCATGTGGCGGTCTGGCAACTCACCTTGCCATCAATCACAGCCGTCCATCTCACCTGGCGATCATCTCACCTCGTAGAAGATGACGGAGAAGGAGTAGACATCCACCGTGCGATCGTATGCCTGGTGCTTGAACACCTCTGGTGGGACCCAAGGAGCAGCAACAATCCATCACAGCCATCCATCTCACATTGCACTCCATCACAACCGTCCATGTCACCTGGCAGCCCATCGCAGCCGTCCATTGCATCTCACCTCGTAGAAGATGACGGAGAAGGAGTAGACATCCACTGTGCGGTCGTACGCCTGGTGCTTGAACACCTCTGGCGCCATGTAGCGGTCTGGGGGTAGGTGGAGAGCGGTGGGGAGGGAGGAAAGGAACGGCACAGAGAAAGGAGAGCGAGGAGAATATGAGGAGCACTCAGTGCAGTCGTATGCCTGGTGCTTGAACACCTCTGGCATCATGTAGCGGTCTGGGGAGTGGAGGGAGGGGAGGTGCAGGGAGGTGGAGGGAGGTGGAGGGAGGTGGAGCGAGGTGGAGCGAGCAGAGAGGGCCTGTTGCCGCAGTAAAAAAGCAAAAACTCCTTTGTTCTGCTCTTCACCTTGACCAATTCACTCCAAACAGCTGCCAGTCTCCCCCGTCATCTCCTGCATCTCATGCAGCGCGCTCGACTTCATAGCCTCTCGTCCTAAAGCAACATGAGTTGATGGAAGTAAGGCCTCCGCAGCCCACCTGTCCGCTTTTGACAGCTCCCCCTCATCTCATACCGGCCCCTCACCTGGCCCACCTGTCCCCATCATCTCATCTCCTACATCTCATGCAGCGCGTTCAACTGCACCAGCTTGCTCCGCCCCGGTATTGAAAAACCCCATAACCAGAATCCTTAACAGATTCCCCAACAGAAGGGGCAACAATCCCCTTAACATGTTCACTCACAGCTGCCCGTCTCGCCAGTCATCTTTTACATCTCATGCAGCGCATTCACCTTCACCAGCTTGCTCAGCCCAAGGTGGGTGCTGCCTCCACACCACATTCTCACACCTGCCAGCCTCCCCAGTCACTCACAGCTGCCAGTCTCCCCGGTCATCTTGTACATCTCATGCAGTGCATTCACCTTCACCAGCTTGTACCCCCGAGCTTGGTGCTGCCACTACCACACCAAATCAACAAACGACTACCCTCACAGCACACATCAACTCACAGCTGCCTGTCTCCCCGGTCATCTTGTACATCTCATGCAGTGCATTCACCTTCACCAGCTTGCTCAATTAAGTGTTCAGACATCTCATAACCTGCCTCCGTAGCAAAATGCTCAACAGGTTCCGCACAAACCCCCCGACAGGTCTACTCACAGCTGCCGGTCTCCCCAGTCACCTTGTACATCTCGTGCAGCGCGCTCACCTTCACCAGCTTGCTCAAACCGAGCTTGGTGCTGCCTCCACATCACATTCCCAAACACACTCACTCACGCCTGCCAGCCTCCCCAGTTACTCACAGCTGCCGGTCTCCCCAGTCATCTTGTACATCTCGTGCAGCGCATTCACCACCACCAGCTTGCTATAGCTTGGCAGCCAGACCTCAACAACAGATCTATTCCTTGCCCAAGGTCACTCACAGTCAGCCCAAGGTCACTCACAGCTGCCGGTCTCCCCAGTCATCTTGTACATCTCGTGCAGCGCATTCACCTTCACCAGCTTGCTCAAACCAAAGTCCGCCACCTTTAGGTGATCCCCTTCATCTCGAATCAAGTTCCTGTCGGCACAGAGCAAGCATGGAGTGTAGGGCCAAGGCGGGGGAAAGCGGTGGGGGGAGGGGGTACAAAGGAACAAGCGACCGGCTCAGACCAAAGTTCCCTTCCCTTGTGGTGATCTTCCACGTTCCGAATCAGGCTCCTGTCGAGTGGGTGTGAAGCAGGGAGGGGCAAGGGCGGAACACAACAGAAGTGAGAGAGAGTGGAGTCGAGACAGCTTATAGCGGGACAACAGGCACCTTGGTTCGGGGACGAGACAGCCTACACATATAGCAGGACAGTACACACCTTATTTGGAGGACAAAATAGCTTTTAGCAATTCACCACGCACCTAGGCTTGAGGTCTCTGTGAATGATGGACTCGGGCTTGTGGTTGTGCAGGTAGTTCATTCCCCTGGTGGAAGGGTTGGGGGTGGGAAGAATGGGGGAGGGGAACGGGAGGGGTGGTTGCTGAGAGGGGAGCAAAGAGAACGATGGATTCGAGCTTGTGGTTGTGCAGTGCAGGTAGTTCATTCATTCCCCTGATGGGAGGTGATGGGTGGTCATGGGTGGTCATGGGTGGTGATGGGTGGTCATGGGTGGTGATGATGGGTGGTCATGGGTGGTGATGATGGGTGGTCATGGGTGAGACGCCAATACAAGGGAACAGGGTGAAGGGAGGGTTTTGTTTTTGTATGAGAGATCGGAGCCACTTCTGAGCCATTCTTGAGTCAAGACGGAGGGAGTAAAGTAACTTGGTCATTTCTTTCTGCTGCGCACTACAGAGGACTTCGATTTTTGAGGCGCCTCAAAAATGAGTCAAGACGGAGGGAGTAAAGTAACTTGGTCATTTCTGCTGTGCACTACAGAGGACTTCGTCTTTTATTGGCTCACACAATCAACCCCCTCACTCGCCAATTTCACCCCCTCATGTAACGAATTCAAGCCTCTCACCTGAGATCCCAGCCCCACAGCTTCCCATCTCAATCCCCTCACCTGGTGATGTCTAGTCCGTATCCCACCGCTATTCTGGGCTGCAGGGCCCAGTCCATTCTAATCCGGCCCTTAACCAGCCCCTCAGCAATAACCCCCTCCCTCACCTGGCGATGTCCAGCCCGTATCCCACTGCTATTCTGGGCGAGCGACAGGGTACACCATACTCGCCCCCCATCAGCCCCTCAGCAATCACCCCCTCCCTCACCTGGCAATATCCAGCCCGTATCCCACTGCTATTCTGGGCGGCAGGGCGCCCTTCACTAGCCCCTCAACAGCCAACCCATCCCTCATCTCACCTGCCGATTCCAATCTCCTTGCCTCGCAACCCCAACCCCCTCACCTAGCGATGTCCAGCCCGTACCCCACCGCTATTCTGGGCGGCAGGGCGCCCTTGGCCTTGAGCACGTCGTGTAGGTCGCCCTGTGTGTGGGGAAAGGGGCCCCAGGCAGGGGTGAGCGGGTGGGTGGAGAGAGTGGTGAGTGGTGAGTGGTGAGTGGTGAGTGGTGAGTGGTGAGTGGTGAGTGGTGAGTGGTGAGTGGTGAGTGGTGAGTGGTGAATGGTGAGTGGTGAGTGGTGAGTGGTGAGTGGTGAGTGGTGAGTGGTGAGTGGTGAGTGGTGAGTGGTGAATGGTGAATGGTACTCAGTGACGAGGCACAGGGGCGGGCGGCGGGCGGGTGACGCACCCCAGAAACCGCACTAGGTTGGGACGCCGTAGCTTGGAGCAGCGCACACAGCATTGCATTCACCCATCTCGCATATCGCACGGCGCATCATACATGCTGCATCTCGCATGATGCTGCATTCGCATCAGTGCAGCGAGACTCACCCCAGGGAGGTACTCGGTGACGAGGCACAGGGGGGGACGGCGGGTGACGCAGCCCAGGAACTGAACTATGTTGGGGTGCCGCAGCTTGGGCAACAGAAACATTTCGTCCCGGAACTCTTTTCTGCCCATCATCAGGGAACATCAAAACGGAAAAAAAATAAGGAAATGAGCAAACATTTGGCCACTTTATGATGTATGGATAGTTATGTGAATGACAATAATACAGGTTAACACCAGGAGATACACACACATGGTACAAGAAAAGAACCCATCTGATGTGAAAGGGGGCGGGAAAGATCTTGTATACATCTACATAAACATCATTATAATACTCGCCAAAAGTATGAACCTCACGTGATCTGCACGTCGTCTGATAGACCTGGTAGGATTGTCTTAGCGGCCACTGGGGTGCCTCTCCACATGACCCTCCTGATCTCACCGAACGCACCCTGGGATGAAAGGAGGGGGGAAAAGGGAACGAGATTGTTGGGAGGGAGGCAACAATGCATTCAGGCTTGGCGGCCACTGGGGTGCCTCTCCATATGACCTCCTGATTTCACCGATCGCACCCTGGGATGAGGGAAGGCGGGCACGAGGGAAAGAGGGGCGAATGTGGGAGGGAGGGATGGGCGGAGGAGGGATGGAGAGATGGGGAGGGGAGGGTGGGGGAGGAAATGGGACAAGGAAGGAGGGGGTGGAGACTAGCTTTGAATTGTTGAAGTCCAGTTTGCACAGGATTATTTCCTTGCCATTCCATTCATGAACAAACGCCTGCACACATCCTCGTTCCCACTCTCTCGTTCTCACACGCAGTCACTCGCACTCACTCTCACAACCACACACATAACCCTTACTCATTCACACCCACCTTGCCGATAAGTTTTGACTTGCTGAAGTCCAGCTCCGATGGGTCTATCTCCCAGTCGTCCGCTTCTGCCCCCTGTGGTGGTGATGGGGGTGGAGTGAGGTTGGTTTCGGTTTGGTACGGTTTGGTATGGTTTGACAGGGTGTGGTGTGATTCGGCGCGCGACATGGTGATGGGTGTGATTTAATTTCGTGATCTCCGGAAACTGCATTTCCTTCCCTTCCCTTATACATGCAATGCATCTCTCATCTCCCGTCAGCATACACACGCTCATCACATGCACTCCGTCTCACCAATCCTCGCCACTCCGCACCATTCTTTTCCACTCTCCACCACTCTCCATCACTCCCCACCACTCCTCACCACTCACCCCCTCAATACCGCCATGCTTCAAGAGCACTTGAATAATCTCCGGAAACTGCCCCTTCTTCCCCTCCCGCATGGCCTTGCGCGCGTCTGTCAGTGGCTGTGCAGGGGGAGGGTGGGGGGAAGAAGGGGGGGTGTGGGGGAAGGGTGAGGGGGGGGGGGGGTGGGGGGGAGAGGGGAATTCGGAGAAGGGGGATGTATGGGCAGGGGCGCAAGGGGGAAGCGATAGCATGGACTTCTTTAGTCAACTTTTGAGAAGTCGATTCAGAAAGTCAATCAGAACATACTACCCGCCCCTGGCCCCTCCTCCTCCTCCCCCCACCTCCCTCTGTTCCATCCCCCTACAGCCATTAATACGGACCGTGTGTCCCCATCTGTCGCGCGGGTTGACTCTCGCGCCGCGCGCCAGCAGCAGTTTAAGCACGCCCAGGTGGCCCTCGCACGCCGCGAGGTGTATCGCGGACCGCCCGTCGTAATCCGCGCTATTGACATCCGCGCCTTCGTCTAGAAGCCGCGTTAATTCGTCCACGTCGCCCTGGCTCGCGACGAAAATCATGTTCGTCATTCGCGAAAGCTGGTCCTGCCACTTGCTCTGCGACGACGACCCCTGCGAATGCGACGAACCATGCGACCCGTGCGATCCGTCACGCGCGCTTCCCCCTCCGCCATCGCCGACGCCTCCGCCGCCTCCGCCGCCGCCGGCCCCGCTGTGGCTGGGGCCAGCAGCAGAGCTGCCGTTTACTACGGCGGGAGACCCGCGCGCGCCTGATCCCACGGCTGCGGGGTTTCCGCCGACTGCTGTTGCGGGAGCTCCCGCGGACGCTCCGCCAACTCCCCTTCCCGACCCCATGAGTGCAGCTTTCGCTGCTGATACTAGTCCGCCTACGCTTCCCCGCTTGCGCGAACTGTATCACCCTGTTTTATTTCGCAGTCCTATTTTGCCGCTGCTACAGCCGCTGCTACAACCACTGCTACAGCCGTTGCTACAGCCGTTGCTGTAGGCAAGCTTGCGTTGAGATGCCACGTGACGGCTGCAGGCAACACACCGACACTGCTCTTCCCCGCGCCTACTACCCTCGCGACATTGTTATCGCGTCTTTCGCAACCCGTCGCATGGCGACGATCATTCGGTTCGCTGCTGCGTCGATGCTGCGCGACAGCCAAACCGTGCAGGATAAAGAACGAGAGCTCGGCTTCCTTGCACTGCTTTGACGCGATGTCGTCTCGCTCAAGTCAAAGAACAACCCGTGCTACGATATCGCCAGGCGGTGCGGAAAGACGAGCGGGAAAAGCGGAAAACATGAAGGTGGAGGAAAATCGTACGCCCGTAAGAACCTTTGCACAATGCAGTGGGCGGGGAGTAATCCTAGTAGTGTATGGTCCTGTGGGAGTGATTCGTGATTAGCATTACCGGGAACTCATTGACCACTTAGCAGTGACGGCTACGATCTGTGCTCACTTGGCATATCAACACGAGGGACCTATTTGTCGATGCGGCTCGTGTGGAGGAAAACCTACTATGTCAGTCTAAATACCCGCACAAAGCGGTCAAGTACTTGGCGGGTAGTGTGTAGAATGGAAGAGTACGTATTCGCGACTGTGTCATCCACGTGAACACAGACTTATTCCACATAAATAAGTGTGCGAGCAGGGGAGGTGTGTGTGTGAGGCGGTGTTGGGTAAGAAAAGGTGACAAGTGGGAAGTTGAGAATACGCGGGAAGGGAAAGGTAGGAGGTCAAGCGACAAGGTTGGCGGGAAAAACTACACTGCAGCGCCAAGCTCGAGGGGAGTGTTATCTCAACTCACGATCGTCTGGTGATCGTCCAGTGCGTTTTAGTAAGAGTTTTCACGGTTAACAGCGTTTCTGATCCAAACTAGGAGCAATTTCAAGGTGTTCCTGCTGCAGCGCTAGGGGCACTGAATGGGCTGCAGTTGATTCGCTCCCCACTTGCTCCCATGGGCCATGGGACTGCCGAGCTAGCGAGCACGTGGGTCAAATTCCCATGAAAAGGGCACCCCGCCCGTCCCCAACCCAGATCAGCACAATGTGACCCACGTGGGGAAGGACCTTGCGTCTGCTATATAGCTGGCTTCAATAACTTGACGCCCTTGACTACACTCCTACTGGAATTTCAAACTGCAGTAATTCCCGATCCGATTCATAATCCAACAGTAACTTTCCAGCTCCAGTACCTGCTTCACCAGTGCTTGAAACTGCTGCTTGTGCCCTCGCCACACCACACCATTCCCTCCCACCAGCTCGAACACTGGGATTGTCTCAAAAGTCATCACAGCGTTCAGGCTGGTGGTCTCGCTGCTGGCCCGTCATTCCATGTAGGGCAGGCTTCTAAGTACACCGAAAGTTGACACATCGCACGATTTCCTCAGGCGTCAGCGCCACTTTATTAGGTTCGTGTGGGTACCCTTTTCTTGTGAGCGAAACAGTTGGCCACATTAGCGCTTACTTAGTACATTTTTTGTTTAGTCCGGATAATTATTATCTTATTGAGAATTGTCCTGGCCCGACCTGCTTCCGCCACTCCTTCCAGTTTTTTTACGTATTCAGCGTTAGATTGGTCAGCCATTTCGACGTGTTTTCGCCACAAATCCACGTGGCAGTGACTCAGCCATTCATGGATACGCCGGCATCTGAGCCTGCTCTTGCGTCAGATTCTTCCACGTCAGCAGAGGACGTGGAGGAGGTTGAGATTGAGGTGGTCGACGAGCCGCGTCGCGCGGATTTTCAGGAGAAAGTGCGCCGATTGCGGCAGGTTTTGCGGGATCGCGGGATCCAGTCCGCGTTGATCTCGTCCGTTCCTAATTTCTTCTGGCTCACATCCGGCGGTCGAAATTACGTCAGTCTTTACACGCAGCAGGTAGGGTTTCGCACTAAGGCAATGCCAGACCAGAGGAAATCAATTCTGGTTAGTGGGTTCAAGATCTCATACTTCCCCGACTTTGAATTCGCGGTGTAACCTATATAGTTGTTGATGCTGACAGGGTGGTAACCAGTAACATTGTGAGAAAGGGCTATTTTGCAGTGATCATTCCATTCCACCCATTGCCCCTACAACCCCCACCCCCCAGGGAGTGGCGTCTATGTTCGTCGATGCCGACAGGGTGGTGCTGGTAACCAGTAATATTGAGGCAGAATGGATATCATGTGTTACTCTATCGTTCAATAAGATCGAGTTATCCTTTCCCCTCCTTTCCCCCCTTCCCTTCTTTCAATTCCTCGTTTCAGGGAGTGGCGTCTAGTTTGTGGACGCGGACAGGGTGGTGCTGGTAACCAGTAACATCATTTCAGATTGCCAACTTGTGTAATGCCAACATTCACCAGGAGCAATTTTATCCCTTCCCCCATGCTCTCTCCAGGGAGTGGCGTCTATGTTTGTGGACGCGGACAGGGTGGTGCTGGTAACCAGTAACATTGAGGCGGAGCGAATCACAGCAGAGGAGCTCGCAGGGCTTGGCAGTATTCAGGTGTTCGCCAAGCCGTGGTTCTGGGACGACTCGGCGCACTTGAACAGGTAGGTGCTGGAAAGTTGTACAGTAGTTTCTGTACAGTAAACCTGACACAATAGGTTTGATACAGTATATTGTATTTGTCATATCCCCCCAACTGATCCATCCTTTCCCCCCCATTTCCTGATCTCCACTAACCTCCTTCCGGGCTCATGATAACTCTAGGTCGCTGATTCAAGCCGAGCCAGACACAGGGGACACGACTCATTCCCGCCCTCCTCCCATCTCCCTCATCCCCCCAATCCCCCTGAACCCCCCCACTCCTCCCACCTCACCCATCCCCCCATCCAGGCTCATGCCACTAGGTCGCGGGTTCAAGCCCGGCCAGACACAGGGGACACTACTTGTGTGTCCCATTTCTCATCTCCCCCATCCCCCATCCCCTTCAATTCCCTGTTCCCTCCATCGCTCTCATCCCCCATGTAGGCTCATGACTTTAGGTCGCGGATTCAAGCCCGAGCTGACACAGGGGACACGACCTGTTTCCCCTATCCTCTCATCTCCCCATCCTTTTCTTCCCACTGTTCCTCCAAATCCCTCCCTTCTCCCATCCAGGCTCATGACTCTAGGTCGCGGGTTCAAGCCCGAGCCAGACACAGGGGACATTCTCACCCCAATATTCGCCGAGCTAAGAGCCACTCTTACCCCCTTCGAAGTGGATAAATACCGCGTTCTAGCCCGGCAGTGCGGGGAGCTTCTGGGAGAGGTAGCGCGGGGGTTGAGGAGGGGGATGACTGAGAAGGAGGTGGCAGGGGCTGTGGCGGGCGCGTGTTACTCGAGGGGAATTCACCCTATTTTATTGCTGGTGGGGGCGGATGAGAGGATGGATAAGTGGCGACATCCGCTGCCCACTTCTAATGTGGCCAAGGTGAGAAAGAGAGTGAGTGAGTGGGTGAGTGAGAGAGGGTGAGGAGTGAGGGAGCGAATGAGTGAGTGAGGGAGGAAGAAAGAGAAAGTGATCGAGTTGGGCTTGGTTAGCCAGCTAAGGTCAGAAACTTCACGATTGATGAAGTAGGGTTTCAACAGCCGCCTCCTCTTTTCTCTCCACGATTCTCCATTGTTGTAACCCACCCACCCACCCACCCACCCACCCGCCGCCAAACCCCTCCGAACCCCTCCCATCCCCCTAACCATTCCCCCCCTACTTTCTACCTTCTTCCTCCCCCCTCCCCCCTTGAATCTCCTGCATCACTCGTGCATTCTTATACTGCGCTATTCTAATTCCCCCTTATACTGCGCTATGCTTGTTGTCGTGGCTTCAACGCCTTTCTCGTCCTGTCTTTTACGTGTTAAACATAATTGCCTCAAACAGTCCTCCCTGTCACCCCTCTTCCTGTTTCTCTCTCACCACCTGATGCACAAACCCCTCACTTCCGTCTCCATCTGTCCTTTTGTCTTTCCACTACCCTCCCCTTCCCCGCGCCCTTCCCTACCCGCCTCCTGCTCCCCTCCTCTCCCCCCTCACCCCCCCTGTTACAGTCACGCCTCGTCATTACCCTGTCCGGTCGTCGTCACGGGCTCATCGCCTCTCTCTCCCGAGTCGTCCATTTCGGCCCGCTCCCCTCGGACTCGCCCCTTCGCTACAAGCACACCGCTGTGACTTACGTGGATAGCGTCGCCATCGCCAGCACGCGTGTCGGCGCCACGTCAGATGCAATCATGGCAAGAATCCAGCAGGCCTATGAGGAGCGAGGGTTTCGGGATGAGTGGTTGCATCACCACCAAGGGGGAGCGACGGGGTACAGGACTAGGGAGTGGAAAGCGGAACCGGGTGTACGGTATTATGTGGGCTCCCCACAAGCGTTTGCGTGGAATCCGTCTATAGCGGGTACAAGATCAGAGGATACGATCTTGGTGGGGGGCGGTGCGGGGGACGGTGGTGGAGTGAGGAATGGAGCAGGAGATGGGGGAGTGGAGGGGGCATGTCCGGAAGTCTTGACGGCGACGCCTGATTGGCCGATGATTCGGCATGTCGTTGATGGAATTGAAATCATGCGACCAGATGTGTTGGAAATCATGGACTGATGGAGCCATCGGTATGCCTGTTTCAACCACTCAAGCACAGCGTTTCGAATGTTATCCTCCATAAGGGGGTGCATGGTCAGCGCCTTATAGACGGTTCCAATTACCTATGGATCATAAAGCCATATCTCAGTAACAAAATGCACAATATATAACACAATCAAAACAAAGCTCACAAAACCTATGTACACCCTACACTCATCACTCAGCAATTGATTGGCGGCTCTGTTTTCCTAACCGGAGCGCACGCACTTTTTGCTTCCCGAGCTTTACAAGCCAGACAAGAACCAGGCAGCTGGCAGCCCAAAGGTCCCACCCAGTCATGCACTGTTGACCTCCGCCAGCGTTTTCAACAATTCTAGCTTCACAATTTAGTCTTCATGCCTGGCCTTGAGCATACGGAAGGCTGTGAGCTCGTCACGGATTTTAGCTGGAATGGGAGCCAGACCAAGAGAGGGAATGGGAAAGGGTGATGGGGTTGGGGATGGAGGGTCAGAAATGGCATGAAACTGGCATCGCTGCAGCAATTTTAGATGTGGGTAGCTTTCCATGAAGATAGTGATACAGATGGGAAAAAAAATATGTTGCCCACCTCTCTCATACCGTAGTTCCTCACGGTTCATGCCCATACCTGCATCACTGAACCGCTCCTCTTCGATGGCCTTCTGCATGTCTTGACGCAGTCTGAACTCCGCTGTAAGGTCTTGTAGCACCATGCTTGACGCATCAGGCCTGCAATCAGCAACAAATTATCACTTGCAAGACTCAGTTTGTGTACCGGTACCGCTTTCCACAAATACTATCAACGCATTTCAACACTTAGCCCTCAGCAGTTATGAAGGAAAGCAAAATGCCCAGGATGCTGCACAGCATAGTTCGTTCCGCTGCGCTTCCCGATGTTGCAGTTGCAACGTTCCATCCAGCAACAGACTGACTCACATGTCCTCCTCAGTGGGCGCAAAGTTGCGCCGGCGAACTGTTCGGCCCGAACGGGGTGCTGGCTGAGGCGCGGTGCTGACGACTCTCACGCCATCCCCAACCGCCAGGGCTCTGTTCACCTGAACGGGCACCTGGAAATTGGAAAGGGGAACAACAACAAGCATGCAAAATATATCATGGAAGAGTGCCACGTCACACGAGCTCTGGGTGAACAGCATAACGCAGAACGGCAATGCATCAAGGTAGGTACAGATATCACACTTTTGTGCCTATCGTTACAGGAAACGAAATGGCGTACCCTTGCTCTGATTGCCAGGTTGATCGCATCAGATGGCCTCAGGTCAAGGCTGAATACCGTTCCTCCACCTTCGCCCACCTGTCAGGTATGATCATCATTTGAAACACGCAGAACGAACAGGGGGACGCATCCGATGCAAGGAGCACTTTAAGTTGAACTCCCATCAAAGGGTGGCAGAGAGAAGGGCTATTTCAAAATGGGTACCTTGTGGTCAGGGAGATTTACCTTCTCGAGGTAAATTCGGGCGTAGTACGCCTCGCACACGCGGTGAGTGACGCGCACCAGTTTCACCTGTAGCAGAGAGCAACACGGAATACGCTAATTGAGATCATCAGTGTCGAAAACCGAAACAGTGCGAACTGTGCTGTTGCTTGTTTGATTATTGTTCTTCGTGCTTCTTTAATTAGCTGATGTTGCAGTGATTGGACAATATCCGTATCCGTACCTTGTACCCCATCATGTCAATCATGTCCCTCATCACCAGGTACACTGTTGGCCGGGCCTGAACACATGATCGAAGAAAATCAACGTCAGAGAAGTCAAGTCAAGCGGCGGTTTGATTGCAAACGACGAATGTCTGTTGAAGGCGTGTGAGAGTCTTGAAGTACTCACAAGTGGGACATTACGAATGGCCTCTTGGGCCATCTGGCTCGGCAAGTCCACTGCAAAAGAAAGAACGAAAAAGGAAGTAGGAGCTGAGAAAGATAAACGACACAGGACAGAAACGAGAACAATCTGCCAACAGGGAATTGTATTGTATCTGAGCAGATAGTTAGCAAGAATTGTTATCTGAATTTTCAGAAAGCGGTGCCGATATTTACTTACAGACAATTATTGGAAGAAGAATGCCGCTTCCGTCCTCGAGCTTGAGGACAATGGCCGGCTGCGCCGTGTAATCAGGGAGCCTTGCGCCATCGGGGTTGGTGTGAGCGCATTTGAGAAGCGAGCCGTCGGACATCTTGACGACGAAACCATCTACGTTGCTTTTCACTTCATCTGCAAAAAAAAACAAAAAAAAGGCAAGAAAGCAGGCGATCCACCATCAAGCAATTGCACAAGCAAGGTCCAATTAGTAAGAATAATAGATGAAATCAGCGTGAAAGTCCAGCCTAAACGTCACATTCAGAATCGAGCACCTTTCAAATAGATCAAAGGGTCAATGACATGTCAACCAATCATAGGGCGTACTTGCTTCGACGACGGTGGCTAGGGCGTACTCCGTGTCATCCTCCTGAAACCCCTCGGACATTTTCCCTTTAAAGAACTCCATAGTTGCCTCGATTTTTCCGGGCACGAATCTTTCCACAACCCTGGGAGCGCCTCTTCTTGCGGCTTTTGACGCAAGCTGGCTGCCGAGCATAGATTGCTGCTTCCATGGCGTCACAGAGACCCCGTTTAAAGCAGACTCGAGTTTCGCGGAAGAGCAATACGAGATGCCACTTGAGTGAGCGGCTGCGCGGGGGACTGATGCAGATATGGCCGCCATGATTGCGATTTCTTGCACAGCTTGGTTCACGCCCTTCAAGAAAGCAGCTCTCCTGCGGTAGCCTTTGGGTCACCACAGCCACAACTGTTGGAGCAATGAAGGGAGGAACCAGCTGACTGCAGTGTTTCAATCTTCACGGACAGAATGAATCATCCGTCATCGCTCAGTTGCGTGGCATATATGAGTCTGTTGACGCCATGAGAATAGCTTTCAGTTGGCTTAGTGCTCAAACCTGACACAAGTTGCTGGTGCTGCAAAAGCGTCATGGGAAATTGTGTCAACCTACCCAGCCATTCCGGTATCCCACACAAACCTCTCTTCATCTTAATGGATCGATTTACATCCTTTTGCAACCACTTTCCATTAGCGCCCCATCCTCTCATCCACAAAGAAAGCATCTCATCAGGCAAGCTGCGAACAATGTGAATGGGGTAACCGTAGCAACCAGTTATGGTGATGCATTAGGAAAAAATGTTGACGAAGGATGATAACGCTTCGTGAGTTCTCCATTCATCGTAAAAGCAGAGGACTTCGCCATATCCACCCCACACTCCAGTTGTCCCGTCACGTCACTCTCCATGCGCCTCGGTATCGTCAGGAGAACGAATTGAGGAGATTCTGAACTGACTTGATGAGAGAGCCATCCATAACCAGCACCAATCGCAAGCTTATCTGTGGCTCGTGTGAGTCACTCAAACTATCCCTCCAATCACAGACCGTGAATTCATCAAAGGACATCAGAAGACACCCTGGCATGTGCTCAACATGACTCGCGGTTCCGCGAGTCAACTTCCACCTCGCCCAACTCCCTGATCTTATTGGACAAACGTGAGTGGTGGGAACGTTTGCCAGTTCGTGCGGGGAAATCCTGGGCAATCGGATGAGGGATGAGGAGGACCACGGAAGTCACTGCTTCTGCATCAATGGTTGCTGTTTCACGTCGGATCCACAGGCTGACACGTGGTACACGTTGCACTGATGGAAGAGAATTCTACTGTCCAATCAAAGGACTCACAAACATACTCATTTCACTCTGCTTCACGTTTTCAGTCTGCTGCGTTTCATGACAGAAATTAAAAACGGAAAGGTAACTCCTGATTTTCCCATTGTAAGAGCATACGGCAATGACTTGTAATACTTGCTACATAGAACACTAGTCAATATACGGTATGCTGAAGTACGAGATCTCAAATCATATTGTCGTCAGCCTGATACAAACCCCGCTCATTCCCAAAAAAGGGTGACCACATAACATCTACAGTGTATTAATCTACACTACAATACGTAGATGGCAGCACAGGATATGTCCAGCTGCAAATTTCATCCACACCCAGCCAGTCACACCCAGCCAGCCACCCTCAGCCAGGCCCAGCCATACCCAGGCAGGGACAGCTGCTTACCACTCACCCATGGCTTACCTCCCCCACCTCTTTCCACCATACCCCTTTCCCTCTCCCCCCCAACAAAGCTCCAACTCTCATCTGCTTCAGATCCTAACTGAGCCAGTACTTACTGTAGCACAAACCCCACCACCTACTCTTGCGTTGATGTTACAAAAACCTAATGTAGCACCAGCCACCAACCCCATCACCAACCTTTTCTGCTGCGCACATGCAATGGATTCGGATATTACTATCCTCCCTCCAGCAAGTAACCCTTCTAAGTTGACCCACCCAAAAGCCCACTCTGCTTCAGGCCCTAACTGAGCCTCTACCTATGGTGCCACCAACCCTACAACCAAACTGTTCCTCTGCTGCTGCTGCTGCTGCTGCTGCATGCTTGTCTTAAGCACCACATGCAGCGCAATAGTGTCATACCAGCCTCCCTCACACCACCCCCGCTGCCACTAACACAGATATGTGACTGCCCACACACGTCCCTCACACCCATTCCTTTCGCGGCTTGGCAACCTTCTCTTCCATTCACCTCCTCCGCTACCAACCGCCCTTCACCGCTTGCCAAAGAAGTACCCAAACAAGGACTTCTTCTGCGGCGCAGCAGCAGCAGCTGCACTTATGAGGCGCCTCAAAAGTTTCCTCCCTTAACCTCAATCCATCCCCTCCTCTCTTCACCGCTTGCCAAAGAAGTACCCAAACAACGACTTCTTCTGCGGCGCAGCAGCAGCAGCAGCAGCCGCCGCTCCCTTCTTCTCATGCCCCTTACTCGCCCCACCACCACCACCACCACCCTTAGCTCTACCAGCAGCAGCGGCAGGCGGAGCAACATCCGCGTCCTTCTCCCCCTTCGTCTGCTCCGCGAATTTCTTCAGCATAGGCAGCACAACCGTCTCCAGATCCGGCCGGTTCGTCCTGTCCCTGCACTTGAGCGCCACCTCAGCAACCTCCTTCGCAATCTCCGGGTTCCAGTCAACCGTCTTATCCAAATGATCCAAAATCCCCTCCAGCCCGAATTTCGCGAACTCGAGCACCTTATTCACTTTCTCGCCGGTCAGCAGCTGCAGAACCACCAGCCCGAGACCGTACAGATCCGACTGCGGGCCGTATTTCCCGGTGCGGAGCAGCAACGGGTCGATGTAGCCCACCGTCCCCCAAATCGACGAGTCGTTCGCGGGGAGAAACTTCGCCAAACCGACTCCCCCGACCTTACAGGAGAGATCCTCGTTCAGCATGACGTTGCCGGGTTTCACGTCCTGGTGGAGAATCGGCGGGTCGAGATGGTGGAGGAACAGCAACGCCTCTGACGCCTCCGCCGCGATCCGCAGCCGGTGCTTCTGCTTCATCGTTTTCCGTCCCCCCTCCGTCAGCAGACGGTCCTCCAGGGTCCCCCCGGGAAGAGACTCGTACACGATACAGCGTGCCTCGGGATTGTACCCAAGGAGCTTGACCAGATGCGGGTGGTCTGCGCGCGTGAGTATGGTCACTTCGCGGGTGAATTTCTCCGCGGCCTGGCGGGTGTTGTCGGGGTTCAGCTTCATTACAAGCACGGCGGAACCGTCCGCGAGCTTTCCGCGGTAGCCCGTGCCGAAACCACCACGACCGAGCGAGTTTTCCCGCGAGTAGTTATTCGTGGCCTCGTCGAGCTCCTCCGCTGAGAACGTCTTCAAACCGGCCTCGCTCCCCATCGTAATAAGCTGCTGCTGTAAGTGCTGTTGGTAACGGTTTTTTCTAACGTGATAATGTCTGATGCTAACGTTGAAGTTATCCCCACATCGTAAGGCTTCTATCGCAGTTGTTGATGACCTGGCGGGTGGACATCGGTAGCTCCGTGAAAGCGGCTACCAGTGTTGGCTGTTTGGAGTCTGTTTGCGTTAACAGCTGGCTATTCCAGCGAAACAGCTATTCCGATAGCTTCTTGCCTTGGACTCGATCAGGCGGCGAACCTGGTGGGAGTTGAAAAGGACGCATCATGGGGATCGGGAGGATTAGGTCTAAACAGGACATTTGATCAAGATGAGATACGAATATTATGGTGAAACCCACAGTCGGGTAACCAAGGCGTTTCAGGACAGGTTTAACCACGGCGTTTAACCACGGCGCGAGGTTCCACACACCGAGGTTGTGGTTGGCGCGGCTACGGCCTCCCTCGCTTATGTGAGTACAAGGGTTAGGTAAATGTCCGGAGCAACTAAGTGGTGGAAGTATAACGCGGACCGGGAAACAAAAATAATAAAGGTGGACAATTTGCGGAAAGATGACACAAGGTATTGAAGGATACGCACCTCGCCCAGAATCACTGCCTGGACTAACGCTTCTGAAAGCAGAGAAGGCTTCACGCGTTGACAGGGTGAAAGTCCCTAGTACTGTTCGCCACAATGCCTACCACCAGTAGTCTTGAGGCGAGAAAACTGAAAGCTAGTCTGAGTGAAAGCTGACCTGCTGTCGGTAGCGGACACACTTGACAACAATCTTCTCTTGGAGCAAAATACCCCCCCCGCTCAGCTTCAGTTTCACTCGCTCCACCACTCCACCAAGCTTCAACAGCAGGATGCCTGCCTGTTCTGGTCTCAACTGAACTTGGCCTGGGTGTTGTCGCAGAGTCGATTCATTCTCCCTTTCCCCGATTCTGTCGCAGAGGAAGGGGGGGCGAAGCGGAGGCGCAGCACAGCTGGGACGAAGTTGACCAAACCAGTGGAAGTTGTTGCTGGATTGGTTGGAATTGCCGTTTTCAGTTTCTTGTTGCACTGTTGGATTTTGTAGTTTACGGCACGGAGGCTGACAGGTTCCCAAACTCTGCAACCCAGGAAAAACTGATGAATCATGGGTTGCACAAGTGAGAGAAAGTCGACCTTTGATATCGTTACCAAAAAGGGGACGTAGCAAGGTGGAAGGAATCCTAAGCAGCGGCACCCTGGTAGTGGTGTCCAAGTGGTAAAAATGCTTTCCAGGTACAAGACCGCGGACCGATAGCAGGGTGTCACGGGCAGCTTACAATCGGGGCATCCACGAAAGGTTCTAGGGACCGGGAAGGGGGGAAGCGAAGAAAATTGCGGCAGCCAATAAGAAGCTGAGCCACGCGCGCAGACGAGGAACTGCCGCGCGATCCCGCGTAAGTGCTGAGGGTCCAGTGCCTGCAATTCCGCATGGCGGAGAAGTTTGCCTTCGATTACAGTTCCAATCTCGTTTCAAAACTACATGTAACACGCTTGTAAGGAAATGACGGTTACATACCTTCAAAGTACTTCCTCTATCAAACTTCCCTTTCCTCTCTATCCACAACCCCTCCCATCCCACTCACACCCCCAATCTCTCTATGTACCGTATTATTTTTCCCTAAGCAAAGATTACTGAATATTTCACAATAACTTGTTCTGTTTCACATTGTATCACAAAACTCATACACACGTCCACAATGGGCGCACTAGTACTCTCATAGCCCGATGCTACAACCAGCATTCAGCAGCTGATGCCATTGTAACTGTTCACGACAGTTTTGCTCTACCCAATATTTAAAATCGATGAACTCGTTATTTGTCCACAGTGCAACATGCACAATGTGTGGTGATGCAAGCATGACCTTCCTGGTCAACTGCATGCAGTTATTGACTGTATCCTATTCTTTGTAGCGCATCAAGGGTCTCCTTTCGTATCTGCAAGCACAATACACAAGAAGAGAGACCGAATGACGACAGACCAAACAATAACTTCCCAGACCAATTATTGAGCACCATCGTATACAAATGCATGTAACAAAGTGCAGACTGCTCACCCATTCAAGTTGTTGAACCGTTACCCCTGACCCTCCAGTCCTGTACATTCCGCCAAGAACCTGCAACAGCACCTCAGAACAAAGTATTGAACCCGCGTAACTTGCCATACTGGTACAGTGGCTACATTATTTTGAATAACATATATGATTTTGGAAATGCTAAGTGTACCTTGGTTACAGTGTCGAGCAGGTGACCTGGCCGAACAGGGGCAGAGCCTTTTGATTGTTGAACCTGCCAATGCCGATTGCACATGGAATTTAGTGTGCATGTCAATCACGCACAGAAGGTCTGGGAGCAGTGTGGAATGTCAGCAAACAGAGTGAGGAAACCATAAACTATGAAACGGTGTGAAAGTTGATTCCGAAATTTCGCAAAATCGACCTCTAAAATTGTTAGTGAATAAAGTGAAAGTCCATGAGCCATGGGTTTGAGAACTGTGTGAAGGGTCTCAGAACAAAGCGGAGGGTCAAGATGCTTTAGTCACAAACACATTTCTTCCAGCAGGTAACGGCACCTATCGCACCAGCAAGATTCCTCCAAAAGAGCACAAAGCAGACAACGTGCGTGCATTTACAAAACCAAAGCACACAAAGCATGGTTTCCTTCACGTGCCACACAAGGCACACCCACCTTCATAGGATCGTCACTGCCCTCCATTTACTCGGCCTCCTGCCACCCCTCCATGACATCAAATATCCGCTTCCTCGGTGTGTCTGGCGATCTCATGGTCACCATCGCTGACATGAACCGCACCTGTGTGGAGGACTCTTGACATGAAGCAAGCATAACCTACGTTGATGGGCCCGGCCCGACGCTGCCGTTCTTGTACTCACTCGCCCTCCTGCCGTCCCTCTATGACATTGAATGTCCGCTTCCTTAGCATGTCCGGCGATTTCATGGCCGCCAATATTGTCACACACGGCATGCCCGTCACAGCCTACCTTGATGGGCCCGTCACTGCCCTTCTTGTACTCGCCCTCCTCCCGCCCCTCCATGACATCTAGTATCCGCTTCCGTAGCATGTCTGGCGATTTCATGGCCACCAGCGTTGATATGAGCCGCACCTGTGTGGAGCGGGGATGCACACACACACACACACACACACACACACACACACACACACACACACAGCCACGCACACACACACGCAAGAGGCAGGCACACACACACAGAGCCACACAAAAACACACACAAGAGGCAGGCACACACACACAAGAGGCAGGCACACACCAGTTGTTAAAAGTGTATTTTTGAGACGTCTCAAAAATACATCAAGCCAGAGCTGCTGTTGAGTCAACTAACAAACGTCAATACATGAGTTGTCTCGATGACAACAGCGTTGAAAAAAACTGCACGCATGCAGCGCGGGCATGCACACCGAGCAGACATTTCCCTTCCCTCCCTCCTCTGCATAACTCCTTCCCAAACCTCTTTCCGAACCACCTCCATGTACCTCTTCCCCGACCTTCCCCCCATACCTCCCTCCCATACCTCCACCTCGTACCCTCCTTCCAACACCACCTCCCCAAACCTCCCTCCCGTACCTCCACCTCAGGAACGTTATTGAGTCGGCGGACGTCGTTGCGAGGGTTCTGAATGCCCCCTGCCATGAACGACCGTGCTTCCTCCCTCCTACCGTACCTCCTACCATGCCTCCTGCTGTACCTCCTGCCATACCTCCTTCCCCTCCCGTTCCTCAGCTTCGGGCACGTTCTTGAGTCGGCGGACATCGTTGCGGGGGTCCTGAACACCCCCCACCATGAGCAACCGTGCTTCCTCCCTCCCTCCTGCCATACCTCCTCCCCGTACCTCCATCCCTCCCGTACCTCAGCCTCGGGAACGTTTTTGAGGCGGCGCACGTCGTTACGAGGGTCCTGAATGCCCCCCGACATGAGCGACCGCGCCTCCTCTCTTGCCAGCAGCAGCCGAGCCAGCAGCCGGCGGTCCTGAATGGGCAGTTGCTCCTCCATTGACTGGGGTGGGTGGGGGGTTGAGGGGAGAGCATGATGGATGGATGAGAGAGTATGATGGATGGATGAGAGGGTATGATGGATGGATGAGAGGGTATGATGGATGGAGGGGAGGGTATGATGGATGGATGAGAGGGTATGATGGATGGAGGGGAGGGGAAGGTACTGAACTGAATGCCCCCCACCATGAGCGACTGTGCCTCCTCCCTTGCCAGCAGCGGCCGAGCCAGCAGCTGGCAGTCCTGAATGGGGAGTTGCTCCTCCATTGACTGGGGTGGTATAGTTGTGGAAGTTGGGTATTGGTGGGAAGCGAGGGGAGAGTATGGTGGATGGATGCATGCATGGGAGGGGAAGGGAGGGCCGTGAATGCCTGACACGCTTCTTTTTGAGTCGACTCAAGAAAAGGGAGGGCCGTGAATGCCTGACACGCTTTCCCCATAAGCAACTCCGCCTCCTTTAACCATCTCCTCCAGCCTGGCTCCAGGCACATGCTCCTCCTAATTCCACCCCGCCCATGCTGGAATTTCCCATGCATTTCTTGCTCATGCTTTTGCTGCCCGACCATGGCACTCACAGCAACGAGGTCGTCCGCCTGGGCAATAATCTCCTCCAGCCTGCCTCCCGGCACATGCACCTCCGGTGGTTCCATGCCCTTGCTGTCACCCTTTCCCCAGACTACATGAAGGAGAACCAGGCCCTCACAGCAGCACGCTCAGAAGCACTCACAGCAACGAGGTCGTCCGCCTGAGCGATGATCTCCTCCAGCCTGCCTCCCGGTACATGCACCTCTGGTGGCTCCATCCCGCCAATGCCGCCCATGCCAAGTGTGCCTATGCCTTTCTTGCCCATGTCTCTTCTTACCCGTACCCATGACACTCACAGCAACGAGGTCGTCCGCCTGGGAAATGATTTCCTCTAGCCTGGCTCCAGGTACATGCACCTCTGGTGGCTCCATCCCACCAATGCCGCCCATGTTGCCGCCCGGACTCGCCTCCGCAGGAAGCTTGCCGCCCCCTGCCAGCGCGCGTGTGATGATGTCTCGGCGGCGATTCTTGTCTGACGTGGCAACGAGGAGGGACACCACCTGCACCTGAAAACGGGAGAAGTGAAAAACGGGAATATTTCAGGCGACCAAAAAAAGGCTGATGTGGAGAAGTGAAATTTTCCTCAGGAGGGACACCACCTCCACCTGAAAACGGGAGAAGTGAAAAGGAGAGACATTAGGTGACCAAAAAAACGGCTGAAGTGGAGACGAGGACAGACACCACTTGCACCTGGAAATGGGAGAAGTGAAAGAGAAGAAGATTTTGAAGCTACCAAAGGAAAGGCTGATGTGGCGAGGAGGGGGGAAAAGTAAGAAGAGGAAGCAAGAAGCGGCGATGCGACAAGCAATTTATCAGTCTGACCATACCTTGGGGGGGGGGAGGGAATGGCACCTGGAGCACAGCCCCTCTAGTTTTACCTGGGGAGGCATTTTCTGTTGCAGCTGTGATAAGAGTTGCTCTTTCACCACCTCCAGCAACCAGCGACCCTGCAAGGAGGGAAGGGAGATGAGGGAGTGAGAGAGGGGGGGGATGCTGATGTGTGGACAGCAGCGAGTGGCTCAGGTCAGCAGCCCAGTCGTGGCTTCTGTTGCAGTTGTGATAAGAGCTGCTCTGTCACCACCTCCAGCAACCAGGGACCCTGCAAGGAGGGTGGGAGCAGGAAGGAAGAGCATGCAGGAAAGAGGGTCGGAAGAGGGAGAGAAGGAAATGCATGCAGTATGGAGATGAGTGGTCAACATGGGATGGCGGCTCAACAGCCCAACCATTGGTTCTGCAGCCAGCGGCCCTGGAAAGGGCAAGGGGGAGTGGGGGGGGAGGGAGGGACGATGGGGGGGAAGACGATGGGTGCCGAATACTAGAGAATTCAGACTTGTAGTTCCCCGATTCTCGTTATAACATGAAGGAGTGGTGAAGGATGTGCCCGACGTTCAGGTGCATGGGAAGGGGTTAGGTGAGACAGGCATCTTTGGAGTGTCTCGAGAGAGACAAGGCTACAGGAAAATATGTGGTGAGATTTCAAAAGGTTCCTGCATCACGTGTGTGTTAAAAACATATCAGATCGTTCAGAAGTTCGCCAGGAAACTGTTTTTTTTTTTTGTTTTTTTTTTTTTTCTCCCATGTTTTTTAAAATATTAATTCGCACTTGCTCACACGTTCATCATGTCGAAGCAAGTGGAACAAGCACTTTGTATGCGGGGAGAGGAGGTAACAAATTTCACTGTTGAACAATGAAAGGTTAAAGCTCAAGGCCCAAATTGTTCAACCTTACTAAGGTTGCCCTTCGGGTGGTGGGAGAGTAAGGTTGACTTTGTTGAAGTTGGGTTGTTTAGCTTCGCCCAGCTTCTCGCTACACCCTTATGGTTTTCGCTGACTCAGCAAACCCCAAGGAAACTCGGTTTGGTTTGTTAACTATTATTGGGATCTAGAAGCTCTAAGCACACCTTTAATTACCACTCAGTTAGTCTCCACGGAGTCACCTCCAAAGGTCCTCGGGTGCCTGGCAAAGCCAGCCCCTAACCAAGGGTCCGTGTTTGTCGAGGGACGCACCAAGTGTAAATTCGGTCGTGTGCAATAAAACGCTCCCAAACTCAGTTGCGCAGCGTTACACGACGAATTGGCTCGTATGCAGAAGTAGCTCTTCACGTCAATACGATGATAGAGCAAAATATTCACTCAAAGGATTGATTACAACTTCGCACAAGCACGCATATATATTTCGCCTAACACGCATGCAAAGGAAAATATCAAACAATTGATAAACTGCATTTCTAGGACTTCGCCTTGCTGTCTGCAAAAACGGTTGCCAAATTTCCGCTGCGTTTGACTTGATCCGAGTCCTTGAAATAACTATCTTCAATCTCATGTCTGCCAAATTCCCCTGTTGAGTCCTCTCGCGAACGCACATGTAGAATCATGAACGCTCGTGCGGGAATTCCCGTTTTCCCACTGTTTACAGTTGTAAAACGGATATTTCCGTTTTATACCTGTGAAGCGAATTGTCCGGTTAGGCGCGGTGCTTTCCCGCGAAAGTTCTCTGTGCCACGTCACAAAAGACGAGACTCGAGATTCAGTTGTACAACTGAAATCTCGAGTCAAACCTGAGCACCCCTCGGGATCCCTCGGCACCCCCCAAAACACACGCGCACCCCTCAGGTGCGCAATCATGTACGACCAGCCGAAATGGTCGTGCTGTACAATGCCAGGACATGCGCCCTGCGCACGCTCGCAACAGTGCGAGCCACACGCGTGGGCCCTCAAGACCCACACGCGAGATCTGGACCCACACGCACAATCCAGATTATCGCGCACTTTTACCTTGACCAGCGCCACAAAAAATCCGAGCACCCAAAAACACTCGCCACTCAAATGAACACACATAAAAAGTCACAAACAAAGCTGGAACATTCATGCGCGAAACACAAATAGACATGAACAAACATGAACGCACATGAACAAACATGAAGATACATGAACGCTCACGAAGGTTACACGAACAGTACGCGAACAGACATGAACACGCGAAGGCTCATGAAAGTACGTGATCACTCGGAACTTCACACACATTCATGACACGACACGAACAACACGAAACACACACGATGAAAACACATGAATGCAACCTCACACTAAAATGCACATAACTTATGAACCGCTAAGGCGATTCATAAACCGTAAACGCCAAAATGAAAAGCACACAAATGCGCATCACACAAACCACAAATTACCTCAAAACAAAATATTTCAACATGTCATCTTGCTCGACGAATAGGCGACAGGTTGATGTGCAAAGTACGTTTTGCACCCAACATGGTTCTCGAGTCCCAAATTGCACTCACAATATTCTTGGTGTTTCCTTCTCTCCTATTCGACAAAAAAACTGCTGGCCAATCAAATTGCATCGCACTTCACGTCACCACAATTCACAGCCAAACAACACTCAAAACATCACTCTCATCAGCTTTAGTAATCTTGCCCCGCGCGCTCTGCAATTTGGGCCTTGAGCTTCAAGATGAACAAGATACATCGACGACGTTATCTCATTGTTGACCTTTCATTGTTCGCATGGTAAGAAACGCATGAGCAAGTGTGCTCGTTCCTCTCTCCACACACGAAGTGCTTATCCGCTGCTCTGGCGTAGTGAACGAATGAGCAAAGGGAAACTGATGGTGGGAGAAAATATGTAACATGGAGCAATTTACTTGATGACCAACTTCAAAACCATTCAACACATTTTTTAACTCTACTGATTTAAAGGTCTTTCGGAATCTCACAACATTTTCCCCTGTAGCCTTATCGTGAGTCACCCCAAACATGTCTGTCTTACCTAATCTTCTCGTGCACCTGAATGTCAGGTAGATCCCTCACCCACTCTTTCATGATATGATGGGTTGGATGTGATCGACATGAAAATGAGGCCACATACTTATATTCTCACCTGACCACCAAATGTGCCGCTTTTTAAAATTCGCAAGAGAGTTATTAGAGCCTCTCTGTCCCAAAATGAACGTTAGAAAGGCCACCAGGAACGACTGATAAAGCACTCTCACTAAAAATCTTAGTGGTGACTGCTACACCCCCGGCCCCTACTTTTAACTCACCTTAGAGTCGTTGTTGGCATCAGCCTGCCCCATCATGAACTCAAGGGCCACCAGGAACGACTGGTCCAGAGTGCTGACTCGCCCCGCTATGGCAGCCGCTGCTGCCATCTGCACTGCCAGCTCCTCCTCCCGCCCCTCCAGGCCTGATATCTCGTCCAGCTGAAAGGGAGTGGCACAACGAGGGAGGAAGGAACACGACACGATGCTGTGGTCAACCACAGGGCAAGGCTGCACCAGGACCGACTGGTCGCTCCTGGGTGGTAACCCGCCCCGCTATGGCAGCCGCTGCTGCCATCTGCACCGCCAGCTCCTCCTCCCGCCCCTCCAGCCCCGATATTTTGTCCAGCTGAGTTTGGTGTGAGGGTTGTGAGGGTTGTGAGGGTTGTGAGGGTTGTGAGGGTTGTGAGGGTTGTGAGGGTTGTGAGGGTTGTGAGGGTTGTGAGGGTTGTGTGGGTTGTGAGGGTTGTGTGGGTTGTGAGGGTTGTGAGGGTTGTGTGGGTTGTGAGGGTTGTGTGGGTTGTGAGGGTTGTGAGGGTTGTGAGGGTTGTGAGGGTTGTGAGGGTTGTGAGGGTTGTGAGGGTTGTGAGGGTTGTGAGGGTTGTGAGGGTTGTGTGTGTTGTGTGGGTTGTGTGTGTTGTGTGGGTTGTGAGGGTTGTGAGGGTTGTGAGGGTTGTGAGGGTTGTGAGGGTTGTGAGGGTTGTGAGGGTTGTGTGGGTTGTGAGGGTTGTGAGGGTTGTGTGGGTTGTGAGGGTTGTGAGGGTTGTGAGGGTTGTGAGGGTTGTGAGGGTTGTGAGGGTTGTGAGGGTTGTGTGTGTTGTGTGGGTTGTGAGGGTTGTGAGGGTTGTGAGGGTTGTGAGGGTTGTGAGGGTTGTGAGGGTTGTGAGGGTTGTGAGGGTTGTGTGGGTTGTGAGGGTTGTGAGGGTTGTGTGGGTTGTGAGGGTTGTGAGGGTTGTGAGGGTTGTGAGGGTTGTGAGGGTTGTGTGGGTTGTGAGGGTTGTGAGGGTTGTGTGGGTTGTGAGGGTTGTGAGGGTTGTGAGGGTTGTGAGGGTTGTGAGGGTTGTGAGGGTTGTGAGGGTTGTGAGGGTTGTGAGGGTTGTGAGGGTTGTGAGGGTTGTGTGTGTTGTGTGGGTTGTGAGGGTTGTGAGGGTTGTGAGGGTTGTGAGGGTTGTGAGGGTTGTGAGGGTTGTGAGGGTTGTGAGGGTTGTGTGTGTTGTGTGGGTTGTGAGGGTTGTGTGGGTTGTGTGGGTTGTGAGGGTTGTGTGGGTTGTTGTGGATGCAAAGGGGAAAGAAGAATGAAACACGATTCATGCCGCCATCTGCACTGCTAGCTCTTCCTCCCGCCCCTCCAGGCCTGATATCTCGTCCAGCAGAAAGGGAGTGGCACAAGGCGGGAGAAAGGGACACGATGCTGCTGTCAAACGCTGGGCAAGCCTGCACCAGGAACGACTGGTCGAGAGTGCTGACCCGCCCAGCTATGGCCGCCGCTGCTGCCATCTGCACTGCCAGCTCTTCCTCCCGCCCTTCCAGGCCTGATATCTCGTCCAGCTGGGGTGGAATTGTGTGGGTTGTGCGTGCATGCAAAAGGGGGAGAAATAAGAAAAAGGAATGATACATGTTGCCATTTGCTCTTCCTCCCAAGTTCTACCCGCCCCGGAAGCAGCTCCCGAAGCAGCTCCCGATTCAAGGTTCAAGCCCTCACCCCAGGGACTGGGCGACAGATATTCAGGGTTCAGGGTTCAGGGTTCAAGGTTCCAACGCTGCGAATTGAAATTTCTAATAAATGTGCTGCGAGCCAGCACGCCCCCTTACGATGTTGGCCATGTCAGACATGACTTGCGCCACGTCCTCCCCGCCCCGCAGCAGCTCCCGCCACGCGTCCGCGTCTGACTGGCTGCTCGCCTCTCCTGCTCCCCCGGGCTTTCCAGGTCCCTGCGCTCCGTCCATGCGCGAGATTCGCACCCGCATGTCGCGGCGCATTTCACGCCGCGCATCACGCGGCGACCGCGCTGTTCGAGGGTGTCTCTCCCCTGGCGTATCAAGTAACGAATGGACTCGTGCTAACGGGTGTGCTTCTGTCGAAAATATTATGGCGCATGGTTGATTCGCTGCGGTATGGGTTCCGGAATGGCGGGATGCTTGGAATGCCGATGGTGAAAGTGTTACTCGCAATAGAGCGAGGTGCGACGTAGGAGTCATTGTGCAGCGTGGCAACGCCACTGGGAGCTTGGAGTGCAAACGGATGGATAACGACGACGATAGCCCTCTTTATGAAATCAGGCAGGCTGTTTGTTACATCAAGCGACGCATTTGAGGTGAAGGGAAGGGAGGCGAGGGGGCTGGTGGGAATGTCCTTGGTCAAAATTCCTCCAAATTCCTAACATGTTTACGATTCCATATCATAATCGAATCATTTGGCGTGGCAGATTTACAACGTCAATCTGCTATTATCGAGTTTTCGCTGGGCTCAGTCTCTGAGCGAATCGTCTTCATTCCCTCGCAACTGCCTCCGTGCAACGATGTTCAGCGACCCCATGTGACTAGTGCTCCTTCTGTGAGGAGTCCGACAAGCTTGGGGTGACTAGGGGTGCTTGGTCAGATTGCAGAATTGTTCCACTACATTCACGCGAATCACCATTAATTCGCTAATGTGAACACGCTCTCAAGATGATCTTCGTCTACCAGCATTGAGATTGTCAGTAAACACTGGGACTTGTAAAAGGTGTTCAGCACATTACCCTACGGATTGTCCAGTGCGGTTCAAAAGCTGTTTGCAGGGTTAACAAACGGTTGACGTCTTTTACCGCCTGTGACCGCAACGTACCTGTCAGTCATAGATTTTTGCCTGCCATGACTAGTTCGTTTCCCAGATTCCACTCACACAGCCAGTCAAAGTTCTAGCTCTGGGACTGACAATCACCTCTACTGGCTTCTATTTCGCCGACGACTGCAACAATAATCGGCATTCCAGCGGAGGCGTGAAGCGATGTCGGGAGTAATCTAGGTTTTTGATAGTCCGTTTTATGGTACTTCTTGTTGGAAAGTTGTCATTCCCGAGCTTCCCGCATCCGTTTCCTGTTTCCGCTAGACTCGTTCAAATCACTGACTCAGGTGCATAACATCCCTTCTCAGTGAGCATTGGGACCGTCAACAAACATTTCCGCTGCTATTTCTCATGAGATCACGTTCCACAAATGCGCCAATGACCTCCCTCTGATTGTCACAGCGCAAAATCTCTCACAGCCTCGTCAGGAGAAGATCCTCTCTCGCACCCGTAGCTCCACGCAGCGTGACGAGAGATCACCTCGTGTGATAGGTCGATTTTTGAGCCGACAAAAAAATCGACTCTCTCCCACCCGTAGTTCTGCGCAGCGTAACGAGAGATCACTCCTCCGACCTTGAGATTACCTCTCTGACCTTTCGACCCTTAGCTCCAAGCAGCCATGAGCGACGCGGTGCTGCAGGAGAACGGCATGGCGCGGCCCCCCATGTCGGATCGCGAGATGCACGTGATCGCGTCCGTCGAGGAGTGGAACAAGGGCCTCCCGGCGTCCGCCTTGTCGCATAAATATGCGCTCATTGGCCGCTCGCCGGTTTCCTTCTTCCAAGGAACCAATCACCTCTTCTGGGCTGACCTAAGGTGAGGAATTTCTTGTAAGGAAGGGTGATAAAATTATTTACAGTAAGGACGTAAGCGTGTAACGGTGGTAGATAGTTATTCTTCTGAGCTCACATGCTCTCATGCGCTCACCTTCTTCTGGGCTGACCTAAGGTGAGCGCATTCGGATCCGGCCAGTTTCTAGGTTGATCTTGTTTTTTTCGGGGAACCCGTTTCCTCGCATTTTTTTATCCCTGCTTCCTCACCCGCCGCCCACGCATTCCCCCTCGCGATCTCATAGCGGCGACGAGCGCCTGACGCGTTTCGGCAACAGTCGCACGGTGACATGGATCGTCGGCGACTGCTCTACGTCGTCGTTCACCGCGTCGGGCAGCGACAGCGAGGGCCCCATGTACGGACTGTCGCTCACCGACGAATCCGTGATCGCAGACTACCAGTACGACGTCTGGCGACTCGCGACGAGCATCGTGCTGCTCGCACGGGAGAATCTCGCGGCGGCGGGATCGGCGGGGGCGGGGGCGGCTTCCACCGCTGGCGGAGCTGCGGGAGGCGGAGGCGGAAGCGGAGGCGGGGGAGCGGCGGAAGAGTCGATTTTGCGCGCGGTGGTGTTGGCCTTTGCGCGGAAGTACCTGAAGACGATTATGGGGTTCAAGCAGGGGGAGGTGAAGGGCGGAGGGGGCGGGGAAGGTGGAGCGGAGGGGGCGAACGCGCGGAAGCTGTCGCAGGTGCTGCTGTTGTCCGGGGGGAACATGAAGGGGCGGCTGGTGCGATTCTTGGCGATAGTGGAGAGAGAATACAGCCGGCGGCGGCTTCTGAAGAAATGGTGCGTAACACACTTAAGATAAGCTGTTTTTGAGACCTCCCCTGCTCGCGTTGCATTTCACCCCATCCATCCCAACTTCACAGTTGGTGTGTGTGCGTACCCCAAGGATTAGAAGCAGTAATGAGTAATGGCTTAATCCTTACTCACATCCTTTTCCATTTGATACCACTTCATTTCATTAGATTCCATCCCATTCAAATCCACCCCATTTTCCATTCTATCCCTTCCCATCCCATTCCATCCCATTCCATCCGATTCCATCCCATTTCATCCCATTCCACCCCACTCCATCACATTCCTCGCCTCCTGTGCTTTGTCTCGTGCCCGAGGCTTGAGGAGGAGGATGCAGAGATAAGGAAGCTGAAATACCTTATACTCCATCCCATTCTCTCCCTCCCCATCCTTTCCCCCCTTCCAACCTCCTCTGTCTCTGCGCCCAGGTGCATGGAGGAGGGCGGGCGGTGGGCGTTCCAGGAGCACCCCAGGAAGCTGCAGGCGTGCCCCAAGTTTGAGGAGGACGCCGTGGTGGCGGCGCTCGCCCGCTCCTTTATGCACACTCCCCTTACTCCCCCAGCCCCTCCTGCCCCCTCGCCTCCTGTCCTTTGTCCTGTGCCCGAGACTTGATGCGAAGAAAGATAGGGAAGTAGAAATTCCTTATACTCCATTCTATTCTTCCCCCTCTGACCCCTCAGGTGCGTGGAGGAGGGCGGGCGGTGGGCGTTCCAGGAGCACCCCGGGAAGCTGCAGGCGTGCCCCAAGTTTGAGGAGGACGCCGTGGTGGCGGCGCTCGCCTCGTATGCCGATGGAGTCAACGTCAAGGGGCTTGCTCGCAGCATGCACGCTGACCCAGCCTCCTGTGGCGTGTCGCGATACATGGCGCTGGTGGGTGTTTGAATGCACTCATGTCATCTCACCAGGTCACCTGTTGTGCTGTGTGTGGCGTGTCGCGATACATGGCACTGGTAAGTTGTGGGAGACTCCTCAGTGGGTGGAGGCACTCGCCTCGTATGCCGACTGGGTCAACGTCAAGGGGCTTGCTCGGAGCATGCATGCTGACCCAGCTTCTTGCGGGGTTTCAAGATACATGGCGCTGGTGGGTACATTGGTTGAGGCACCTCAGTTCAGTGTGTGTCAAGGCGTGCTCGCCTTGTATGCCGATGGAGTCAACGTCAAGGGGCTTGCTCGGAGCATGCATGCTGACCCTGCCTCCTGTGGCGTGTCGCGATACATGGCGCTGGTGGGTGTTTGAATGCACTCATGTCATCTCACCAGGTCACCTGTTGTGCTGTGTGTGGCGGCGCTCGGCCATAGCGTGCATGCTGACCCAGCCTCCTGTGGCGTCTAGCGATACATGGCGCTGGTGGGTGTATTTTGTACGCACCTCATATACACATGAAGGCTTCCAAGGGGCTTGCACGCCGCATGCACGCCGACCTAGCCTCCTGTGGAACACCACTTGCTCATCTCTTCTCATCTTGTATCTGTTCACCCTCTTAATCGCCAGACTAATACAAGCAGTGGAGAGCTGCACGTGTTGGACGTGCGCATGCAGCAGCGCCCCACAGCCTACCACTTCATGAAACCCCCACTAGTGCACACCGCATCCCTCTCACACCGCATCCCTCTCACCACATCCCTCTCACACCACATCCCACCTCCCACCCTGGCCTGTGTGTTCAGACTGAGACGAGCAGTGGGGAGTTCAGACGTGCTTTTGAGAATTCTCAAAAGTGATTTCAATATAGCCGTGCACATGCAGCAGCTCCTGACAGCCTACCTACCGTTTCATGAACGCGTATGAGTGCAGAGCATAGCATGCTCAGCTGCTCATCTCTTCCCATCTCTTCCCATCTCTTCCCATCTCTTCCCATCTCTTGCCTCTTCACTTCACCCTCTAACCGCCAGACCGAAACCATCAGTGGCGAGCTAAACGAGTTGGACGTGCGCATGCAGCAGCGCCCCATGGCCTACCACTTCATGAACCCGGACGAGCGCACAGCACAACCCCCTCATCTCACCTCATCTCACGTCATTACAACGCATCTCTCCCCCTTGGCTACATGTGTTCAGACTGAAACCAGCAGTGGGGAGTTACATGTGCTGGACGTGCGCATGCAGCAGCGCCCCACCGCCTACCACGTCATGAATCCCGATGAGCGCGGAGGGCAGATCACAACTCTCTCACCTCACCTCATCTCACGTCATTACAACTCATCTCTCCCCCGTGGCTACATGTTTTCAGACTGAAACCAGCAGTGCAGATCACAACTCTCTCACCTCACCTCATCTCACCTCAATCCCCCCCCCCCCCTCTTCCCCCCTCGGTACATCTACATGTGTTCAGACTGAAACGAGCAGTGGGGAGCTACATGTGCTGGACGTGCGCATGCAGCAGCGCCCCACCGCCTACCACTTCATGAACCCTGATGAGCGCCGAGGGCAGATCACAACTCTCTCACCTCACCTCATCTCACCTCAATCCCCCCCCCCTCTTCCCCCCTCGGTACATCTACATGTGTTCAGACTGAAACGAGCAGCGGGGAGTTACATGTGCTGGACGTGCGCATGCAGCAGCGCCCCACCGCCTACCACTTCATGAATCCCGATGAGCGCCGAGGGCAGATCACAACTCTCTCACCTCACCTCATCTCACCTCAATCCCCCCCCCTCTTCCCCCCTCGGTACATCTACATGTGTTCAGACTGAAACGAGCAGCGGGGAGTTACATGTGCTGGACGTGCGCATGCAGCAGCGCCCCACCGCCTACCACTTCATGAACCCTGATGAGCGCCGCGCGTACCGCCACCGCTTCCCCCACGAGACGGACCGGTTCCTGGAGGCCAGCGCTGCTCTGTGCTCGTCACATGACAGCAGCAGCATTGGATGGATGGAGCTGCAGGTGAGAGATTGGGTGGAGGTGAGGGAAGGAAATGCATTTGAGGGACAGAACACAGAGGTGGGAGGTGGGGTTGCCACCGCTTCCCCCACGAGACGGACCGCTTTCTTGGAGACCAGCGCTGCTCTGTGCTCTTCACATGACAGCAGCAGCATCGGATGGATGGAGCTGCAGGTGAGGTGTGAAACGAAGGTGAGGGATGCAGGTGTGGGTGAGGGGAGAATACGCAGGTGAGAGACGGAGATGTAAGGTGGGGACCACCGCTTCCCCCACGAGACAAACCTGCTTTCGGAGGCCAGCGCTGCATTGTGCTCCTCACACGACAGCAGCAGCATCGAATGGATGGAGCTGCAGGTGAGGGCCGGTGCAAATGAGGGTGTGAGGTTAGGAGGTGGAGAGGTGGAGGTGGGAGGTGGGGCTGCCACCGCTTCCCCCACGAGACGGATCACTTCTTGGAAGCCGGCGCTGCTCTGTGCTCTTCACATGACGGCAGCAGCATTGGATGGATGGAGCTGCAGGTGAGGGGTGGAGTGTGGGTGGAGGGTGAAGGGGCATGTAGGAGGGTGTGCACAGCAATGCCACAGCAAATGCACTGTTTTCGCCTGAATCCTCTGAGTTGAATGTGCACACGCCCTTTTAATCCCGTTTTCTGCTCTTCCTGGCAGGAGGGTGTGCACCCGAGTGCTGCCGGGTGGTACTCGGTGAGAGACGTGTCGCCTTATGAGGAGTACCCGGCTGCTGTGAGGTTACAGAGGAACCCCACTTCTCAGAGTAATGACAGCCATTGCGTATAAAATGCCTTGATTTCCTTTCTGTTCCTCCGTGCAGGAGGGTGTGCACCCGAGTGCTGCCGGGCGGTACTCAGTGAGAGACGTGTCGCCTTATGAGGAGGAGTACCCAGCCGCTGTGTCTGCAGATGTCAAGTCGAAACTCAAGGGGTTTGCTCTCACCACTCAGGTGGGTTTGAGTGAACACCATTTGGGTGCCATGACTTCATGTAGCAGCAGCATAGGTAACACCATTTGGGTGTTTTGATTTTTACTAGGCACTCAAGGGGGGTTCGTTCTCATCACTCACGTGGGTTCGAGTGAACACCATTTGGGTGCCATGACTGCTGCACGTGACAGCACCATGAGTGTTTTGAGTCGACTCCTCAAGGGGGGTTCGCCCTCACCACCCACGTGGGTTCGCCCTCACCACCCACGTGGGTTCGCCCTCACCACCCACGTGGGTTCGCCCTCACCACCCACGTGGGTTCGCCCTCACCACCCACGTGGGTTCGCCCTTACTACCCAGGTGGGTTCATCTTCACAGCTCAGATGGGTCGCTGTTGTCGACAAGATAACCCTCCATGTGCTGGTAGGACTTACCGTATGTGGTAACCTGTTGCTCGTTATCTGTTTTGCAGACTGCCCATTCAAATTGGTGTCCCTGTCAACCTGCTATCAGGCTGATCTACGCAGTGCTCTTTCCATCCACGGTCCACCCCCCCTTCCAACCAAACTACAGGAGGGGTTAGTGGAGCTTGCAGAGGACTGGGCGCGCATACTAGCATCACAGCATGCTGTTGCTGCTAGTCTGCTAGATCCTGACCCACCGGTAGATCAACGGCCAGCATTGTGCCAGGAGCTTGCACTTCTGTCTAAGGCAGCGGCTAAGAACGAGTTTGAGGAGCTTGTGTGGGAGGTGGCGTTGAGTTACTCGCGACAAGTGGAGTATGACTGGCGGTGCTTTCAGAAACACTTATCACCACAGCTGTAGGCAATTTTTATAGATCCTATGACACTGCCTAGCACCCACTCTAGAGCTAATTGTTTCCACTTGTGTTTTGACGAAGAGGTAATTGGTACCGTTTATAACTCGAGTGTATGTCCTCGTACAAACTCTGTAACGTATCGCTTCGCCGCCACGTTCCTGCTCTGAGCTGTTGTCGTGGGCGCCATGTTTCGCGTAGGCTTCGCTCATGTCCCCCCATCCCCGTTCGCGCGCTAACCAACCATGAGAATTACGAGGGCGCAAACCCCTCCGTCTCTGAGAATCAGTTTCATTCAGTGGCAAAACGTTTATTTTTTAAACAGATACAGAACTTAGAAAGAGTTGCATGTGAACCAAATGGAGATGGTAATGTCTCGTGGTAGTCCTACTTGTGTGTAAACGCTGCATGAGACCAGCGGAGCACCCTTGCCAGCACGTTACCCACGCCACTACACCTGCCCCGCAAGGCATGCGCACCACCACATTTCTTTCTAGAACTTTTCTTTCTGGACTAGTTACTAGGTGCTTCCACTAGGGCTGGATAGGTGTTTAATTTAGGTGTTCAGTTCAGTTCGACGTCTAGTGAATGTCTATAACATTGATTCGTCTCGCCTGGCGTTCACCCCGAAGCTCTTGAAGCTCATTATCCAGCCCGTGTCGAAAGCCCTATAACTGTGCCGGCCTACCTGTTAGGTGATTCGGTATAGTCTGCTCCGTTGCTACCACTGGTTGGACGCTTGGCCATGTCGGCCAAAGATGTGGACCCCGCATTTCAAGGAATCAGCCATAAACCGTAAGACCCGCTCGGATGGAACCCCCACGCGTAAGACTCGGTCTTTCGCCGTTACTCTCATACCGACCATTCCATTCTCCCGTCCATGACGTCGCTTACGTAAGTGCCCGCTCTCGTGCTGGTGAAATTTCCGCGTTCTTGCAACCGCACATTGCGTTCTTTCCAGCGAAAGGGAATTCTGATTTCTTGATGTAGTATACACATCGGCGTGCGTAGGAACTGGAAAGCTTGCTGTTTAGTAGCGCCGCATGCCTGCCTTCGGGCCGATAAAGCATGAACCGAAGACTATCTGGCCGAAATTGCGTGTCTTTTCCGAGCATTGATGCTTCATTGCGTGTCGGTCAGACATCTTACATCCGATTATTAATCAATGACAGGAATGCTGGCATTATCTCCTTCTCCAAGGACGCACATTGTTTTGAAATGGGGACATTGAGTGACAAGGCGCGGTCATTGTCTTATACCGCGACCATTGTCCTAAAACGGGGACAACACTAATACCGTCGCACATGGCTCCCGTGACTGGTTTCGTTATGGTACTGACCTGCTGACGTGGCGGCTCCGTGTTTTCAGGGGATTGGACGTATGGCGATTGGAGCAGGGCAAGGTGGTTCCTGTTCCCAAGGCCGAACATGGCAAGTTCTACACCCGAGACATCTACATTGTGCTCAAGGTGCGCTATAACGCGGATTTTAACCTAGCTACACTTCAATCTGTCTAGGGTAAAGTAGTTCTCGTTCTGTAGGCCAGGTACGGCAACACCAACACCTACATTGTGCCTGAGCCTTTCTAAGTGAGGTTCTTCGATTCCACAACCTTAGGCATCAGAAGTTAAATCGTCTGGAATTTAGAAGTTATCCACATCGTCTGGCAACGTCACGGGCACCCACGCCATGCCTCCCCGGCTGGGCAAGCCTTACACTCTCACGCGTCTCGTTTTTGAGTTGATTCAAAATGTGTCGTGTGCCATTGTAACGAGGTGACTTTTGAATCGAGTCAAAAGTCACCTAGTTATCACCCTCGCCATGCTTCTCCCGCTGGGCAAGCCTTACACTCTCACGTGTCTCATTCCCTCCGTCCCTCCCTTCTCTCACCACCTAACGTCAGGGTCCAAAGCGGCAGGGGGCGTGACTCACGCCGTGCACTACTGGCTGGGCAAGGGAGCCACACCGGAGGACGCGTTTTTCTGTGGCTCGTTTCTCACCCTCACATGTGATTTTTGAGAATTCTCAAAAATAACTCGCTGTGTCTCTTTTCTCACCCTAAAAAAAATCTCCCTTCCACCTTTTCCCTCCCTTCTCTCTCCCCCAGACCTCGGGATTCAAAGCACGCCGTGCACTACTGGCTGGGCAAGAGGGCCTCACCAGAGGAAGCGTCTTCCTGTCTCTCACGTGTCTCACACGTCTTTCATCCTCTGCTTATCCTCCCTTCCCTCATTTGTCTCTCCCTCAGACCTCGGGTTCCAAAGCGGCAGGCGGCGTGACCCACGCCGTGCACTACTGGCTGGGCAAGGGAGCCACACCAGAGGACGCGTCTCGGGCAGCGCTCAAGGCGCTGGACCTAGATATTGCCGTGGGCGGCAAGTCAACGCAGCACCGCGAGCAGCAGGGGCACGAGTCGCCGCTGTTCCTGTCCTACTTCCGCCCCTGTGTCATTCCAATTGCGGACGGGCCAACTGGGGAGCCGAGGCTGTACCAGGTCAAGGGGAGACGGTTCCTGCACGTGCGACAGGTGAGTGAGGGGGTCTCACAATGGGTGGTTGGGAAGAGGAGGGCTAGCAGCAGGGCACGAGTCGCCGCTCTCCCTGTCCTACTTCCGCCCTTGCATTATCCCCATTGCGGACGGGGCGAGTGGGGAGAGCCGAGGCTGTACCAGGTTAAAAGGCAGACAGTTCCTGCACGTGCGACAGGTGAGAGGCAGGAGAAATCTCACCGAAAGTTGCACCGATAGTGGGACTAGCATCAGGTCAGGTGGGTATGGCACAGTTCCAGCACGAGTCGCTGCAGTTCCTGTCTTACTTACGCCCCTGCATCATCCCCCTCGTGGGGGAAAGGGGCCAGGCGTTCTCACTAAACGTTTTTTCTTTGGGCTTTCCCCATCCCAGGTCGCTTTTGCGCGCTCCTCCCTGAACCACTCGGACGTGTTTGTGCTGCAAGCGCCCTCCAAGCTCTTCACCCCAAATTTCCCCGTTGAGTGTGCCTCCACCCCTCATCCGATACCCCTCCCTCTGCGTCCCATCCCACAGGTGCCTTTCGCGCGCTCCTTCCTGAACCACTCAGACGTGTTTGTGCTGCAAGCGCCCTCCAAGCTCTACCAGTTCAACGGTGCCAATGTCGCCAAGCAGGAGCGCATTCGAGCCGCCGACGCCACTCTCCTGCTCAAGAGCCAGTCACCTAACGGCAGCATGCCCGTCGCTGTGATTGGTAAGCCTGTGCTGCTGTTCAAGGTGAGCTGGTGCGGTTGCAGGTAAGCCCATTGTGTGCCACCGACTCCTTTTTGAGAATTTTCAAACACCGACTCCACTCAGCTGCTTGGAAGTGCGCCTTAGCTGCTGCCTCCTGAGAGCAGGAACGAGTTCGAGCCACCGATGCCACTCTGCTGCTCAAGCGCCAGTCGCCACTCTCTGTGCTGGTCAGGGTTTAGTATTTTTTGGGTTTCAGGTTTGAGGGTTTTGGATTGACATATCCTTCCTGCCCTCCTCACCCCCCCTGTTCCGCCTCCCCACCCCCCCTGTTCCGCCTCCCCATGCCCCCTGTTCCGCCTCCCCACCCCCCCTTTTTCCGCCTCCCCACCCCCCTTTTTCCGCATCCCGTCCCCTCGTTTTACATCGCAGACGATGGCAAGGTGGACGACGCCAGCTCGAGCGAGTTCTGGGACCTCTTTGGCGGCTTTGCTCCCATCGCCAAGAAGAGTTGCACGCCCCTCCCCCTGCTTCTCTCCATGCTCTGCCTCCCTCCTCCCTCCCCTTCCTCTTCCTCTCCTCCAGATGACGGCAAGGCGGACGATGCGAGCTCCAGTGAGTTCTGGGACCTCTTTGGCGGCTTTGCGCCCATCGCCAAGAAGAGTTGCACGCCCCTTCCCCTGCTTCTCCCCGTGCTCTCCCTCCCGCCTCCCTCCCCTTCCTCTCCCTCTCTCCGGCAGATGACGGCAAGGCGGACGATGCGAGCTCCAGTGAGTTCTGGGACCTCTTTGGCGGCTTTGCGCCCATCGCCAAGAAGAGTTGCACGCCCCTTCCCCTGCTTCTCTCCGTGCTCTCCCTCCCGCCTCCCTCCCCTTCCTCTCCCTCTCTCTCCGGCAGATGACGGCAAGGCGGACGATGCGAGCTCCAGCGAGTTCTGGGACCTCTTTGGCGGCTTTGCTCCCATCGCCAAGAAGAGTGCGAGTGAGGACGACATAGAGGCTAAGGCAGTGCCGCCCACGCTCTACCTGTGAGTTCAGCGCAGTGTGTGTGTCCCTGTGCGTGTGTGTGTGTAGCTAGTATATGCCTGCCACGTCTTTGCACCCAGCGCCAAGAAGAGTGCGAGTGAGGACAATGTGGAGGCCAAGGCCGTGCCGCCCACGCTCTACCTGTGAGCGCACATGTGTGGTTGCTTGTGGGTATGTACCTACCCAGAAGGTAGTGAATACCACTTCTTTGTTTTGCTCCCATCGCCAAGAAGAGTGTCAGTGAGGACGATGTGGAGGCCAAGGCTGTGCCGCCCACGCTCTACCTGTGAGTGCACATGTGTGCTTGTGTTATGCCACTGAATATACCTAGTCGTATATGCCGCCGCTTTGCCTCCCACTCCTTACCCGTGAGTGCACATGCATGTGTGTGTGCGTGTGTGTGTGCGTGCGTGCATGCATGCCAGAGTCAGTTTTTCCTTCCTGGCAGTGTGATCTACCACTTGTTCCCCCCTTTCCACCCCGTCACTGCCAGCAGTTTGCAGGAGCAAGCCAAGGCGCCTCTCAAGAAGAGTCGGCTGGAGAGCAGCAAGTGCTACCATGTTCCTTTGTTTCCCCAACTTTCTCTCCCTTACCCCCCTCCCGCCTTTCTCTCCCTACTCCCTTCCAGCGTCACTTCCAGCGGCCTGCAGGAGCAAGCCAAGGCGCCTCTCAAGAATAGTCGGCTGGAGAGCAGCAAGTGCCACACCACCTTTGTGGTTTGCTTTGCCAATTGCTCCTCCCTTTCCCCCTTCCCCGTTTTCTCTCCCTACTCCTCTCCAGCGTCACCTCCAGCGGTCTGCAAGAGCAAGCCAAGGCGCCTCTCAAGAAGAATCTGCTTGAGAGCAGCAAGTGCTACCTGCTTGACACGGGCCCGAACCTCTTTGTGTGGTTCGGGAAGCTCAGCACCGTGCCTGACAGGCGGGCGGCCTGTGTGGCTGCAGAGGTGAGTGGTGTGAGGGAAAGTGGTGTGAGTGGGAATGAGTGAGTGGTGTGACTCGTGAGGGTATGAGTGAGTGGAGGGGGTGTGAGTGAGTGGTGTGACTCGTGAGGGTTTTGGCAGCTCAGCACCGTTCCTGACAGGCGGGCGGCCTGTGTGGCTGCAGAGGTGAGCAGTGTGAGGTGGGAGTGGTGTGAGGAGGAGTGGCGTGAGGAGTGGCGTGAGGAGTGGAGGAGGAGTGGTGTGAGGAGTGGTGTGAGGAGTGGAGGAGTGGTGTGAGGAGTGGTGTGAGGAGTGGAGGAGTGGTGTGAGGAGTGGTGTGAGGAGTGGTGTGAGGAGTGGTGTGAGGAGTGGTGTGAGGGGGAGTGGAGTGGTGTGAGGGGGAGTGATGCGAGGAGTGGAGGAGGACTGGTGTGAGGGGGAGTGGTACGAGGACTGTGAGGGTGGGTTGAGTGAGTGAATGGTGTGAGAAGTGAGCAGCGTGAGGGTGAGTGTGGTGTGAAGAAGAGTGAGAGTGTGGTTTGATTGAGTGCTTCTCCTTCAAGCCTCGCTCATCCCTGCTTGTAATCTGTCCATTCAACAAGCCCTCACCTTCCCCCCCTTTCCCCCCATTCCCCCCTCCCCCCACCTCCCTTCCTTCCTCCCTTCCCCGTCCCTACCTTCCACCAGGCGCATATGTCCAGCCGCCCCCCCTCAGTGCTAGTGACGCGCATGAGTGAGCGAGGCGAGACAGCAGCCTTCAAGGCCCACTCAGTCATGCTTGTAGACTGCCCACTCAAGACCCACCCCACCCACCTTCCCCGTCCCTACTACACACCAGGCGCATATGTCCAGCCGCCCCCCCTCAGTGCTAGTGACACGCATGAGTGAGCGAGGCGAGACAGCAGCCTTCAAGGCGGCCTTTGCAGAGTGGCCTCTCGCCCCTGTGATGGGCGGTGGGGAGGGAGGCGCCAGCAAGCTCAAAGGTGAGAGGGGAGGCGGGCTCTTGAGGTGTCTCTAAAGACACTTGTATCATCAACCACCAACCATCCTTCTATCCCATCGGTGCTCGTGACACTGACACGCATGAGCGGTGGGAAGGCAGGGCCAGCAAGCTCAAAGGCGAGCGGAGAGGAGAGCAGAGGAGCAGGGCGCAGGTGAGGTTCTTTGAGATGATTCCATCCATTCCATCCATTACACCCTGCAAAAGCACCTCAGCGTAACAGCAGCCACTCGAACCTCCATCCCTCTGCGGGGCGCAGGTGTGGCAAGCAGCTCTGTCTCGTGCCAGAGCTGCTTGCCAAAGCTGCTTGCCTTGCCCCCTGTCTCCAACTGCTTGCCATGCGCTGGCAGTTGGATACAAGGCAGTTTTGGGCAGGGGTGGGTGCAGAAGTGGCAGCAGCAGAGGCACTTGTGTGCATTAGAACCCAACCACGCCTCTCCCCACCCCACCACCTTCCCCCCTCCTTTTTCCATCTCTCCCCTCCCCCAACAGCCATGCTGCGGCAGTCAGGCATGGTGGACAAGGCAGTGGGGAGGGGGCCGCAGGCAGCAGCAGGGGCAGCAGAGCCGCCACCGCCTCCTCTCGCTGATGTTGCCGGGGAGATGAAGGTGAGGACGAGGCAAGAAAAAGGGAATTGGTGAGTGGGGGGTGTGGTAAAGAAAGACTAGTCAGTTTCTGGGAATAAAAAAAAACAACTAGCAGCAGGGGCAGCAGAGCCGCCACCGCCTCCTCTCGCTGATGTTGCTGGCGAGATGAAGGTGAGGCAAGGAGGCGGATAGTGAGAGCGAAGGGGGGGGGAGAGGTAGACCAGAGGAGGCAAGTGCTGTGCTGCTATGGAGGGAATTTTGAAGCGTCTTGAGAATTCTCAGAAGTGACTCTCAAAAGAGAATTCTGAAAAGGGAATTTCGAAGCGTCTTGAGAGTTCTCAAAAGTGACTCTCAAAAGAGAATTCTCAAAAGGGAATTTTGAAGCGTCTTGCAAGTCGTTCCATTTCCATCGCATGACTTTTGAGGCGCCTCAGTCCATCGTCTCAGTTCATTGAAGCGTATTGCAAGTCGTTCCATTTCCATGGCACGAGGGAAGCAACAGAGTTGCCACCCTCATCTATTCAGTTTGATGATAGGAGCATTTCCATAATTGGGATAGGAGCATTGCCATATTTGCGATTTGCATTAGGAGCATTTCCATAATTGCAATCGGAGCATTTCCATAATTGCAATAGGAGCATTTCCATAATTGCAATAGGAGCATTTCCATAATTGTAATAGGAGCATTTCCATAATTGCAATAGGAGCATTGCCATAACTGGGGGATAGGAGCATTTCCACAATTGCGATAGGAGCATTTCCATAATTGCAGTAGGAGCATTTCCATAATTGCAATAGGAGCATTTCCATAATTGCAATAGGAGCATTGCCATAACTGGGGGATAGGAGCATTTCCATGATTGCGGTAGGAGCATTTCCATAATTGCGATAGGAGCATTTTCATAATTGCAATAGGAGCATTTCCATAATTGCAATAGGAGCAGCAGTTCCATTCCACCACATGCAGCTCCTCTTGCAGCCGAGCTCTTCTTGCAGCCGAGCAACTACGCTGCTTTCTGACCAAAATCTTCTCCGTCCTTCCCTCCTTAAGAAGCAGGTGTGGCAGTTGAATGTAGATAAGTTGTCTTCTTCTTTACTTGCCCACCCTCCTCCCCTCTCTGTGAAGCAGGTGTGGAGGGTGAACGGCAGCAACAAGACCCTAGTAGCAGCAGAGGACATGGGGCGGTTCCACAGCGGCGACTGCTACGTTGTGCAATACACCTTCACGCGCGACCGCAAGTTCGAATACGTGGTGTTCCTGTGGGTGGGCCGCGACAGCACTCAGGAGGAACGCACGTCTGCTCTTGGTGTTGCTACAAGGACAGTAGACGCACTGAGAGGAAACGCCACTCTGGTATGTATGTACGCACGCATGCAGTGTGTGCCCGGTAACAGGGTACTGATGTGAGGTGTAAGCGAGGGCAAGTTTCAGTACGTGGTGTTCCTGTGGGTGGGTCGAGACAGCACTCAGGAGGAGCGCACGTCGGCTCTTGCTGTGGCCACAAGGACAGTTGTCGCACGCTTGAATACGTGGTGTTCCTGTGGATGGGCCGAGACAGCACTCAGGAGGAGCGCACGTCTGCTCTTGGTGTTGCTAAGAGGGCAGTCGACGCTCTCAGAGGCAACGCCACTCTGGTATGTGCCATGTGGTGTCTGTTTGTCTGTCTGTCTAGTAACCCACCCACCCACTGCCTCCAATCCAACCCACTCACTCACTGGCTTCTCCCTTGATGGCTTCTCCCTTGATGGCTTCTCCCTTGATGGCTTCTCCCTTGATGGCTTCTCCCTTGATGGCTTCTCCCTTGATGGCTTCTCCCTTGATGGCTTCTCCCTTGATGGCTTCTCCCTTGATGGCTTCTCCCTTAACTGTTCCTCTCTTACCCATCTGCCTTCCTCTCTTACCCATCTGCCTTCCTCTCTTACCCATCTGCCTTCCTCTCTTACCCATCTGCCTTCCTCTCTTACCCATCTGCCTTCCTCTCCCTTACCTCTTTTGCATCCCCTCCCCTCCCTGCCCGCCTCCCCCTTGGCCTTTCAACTTGACAGGTGCGGGTGGTGCAGGGGAGGGAACCCGAGCAGTTCGTCTCCTTGTTCAGAACCCATCTCTTCTTCCTCAAGGTAAGGCCTGGCCTGGTTGGAGTCGATTCAAGATGGATATACAAGGCAGGATGAATATTGTAGGCACATGGGAACCGTCTCACTTCACACCTCTCCTTGTTGCTCTCCTTGTTTAAGGCACACCTCTTCTTTCTCAAGGTAAGGCCGAATCAATCACTTCTGGGAATTCTCAAACTCTATGAAGGTAAAGTCATCGTGCTCATCCCGAGTCGATTTGAATGCCAAGCTCCGATTTTTGGCTTAAGAAAAGAAACGAGGTTGGGAGGGACACCCATCCATCTCCACACCCAACTTTTGATCTCCAAGTGTGAATTTTATGGGAAACCCCCCTACTGCCTGTCCTGTCAATTCCATGCCACACCATCCCACCCATCCGTCTACTCCCCTGCCTGCCGCCGCACACCTGTCAAACCCTACCAACTCCACCCAACCAGGGCGGCAGCAGTGCGAGCTACAAGGCGAAGATCGCCGCCCAGGGCGGCTCCGACGACACATACGACCCGGCAGGCGTGGCTCTTTTCCGCGTGCGTGCCCGGGGGGCGGCATCTACTGGCGCGGGTGGTGCAGCGCTGTTCAAAGCGGTTCAGATGGATCCAGTGGCCAAGTCGCTGAACTCAGAGGATTGCTTCTTGCTGCAGACGCCGTCCAGCCCGTTTTTGTGGCTTGGCAATGGCAGCAGTGCGGCAGACAAGGATGCTGTGGCAGCTGCGGCCGAGATTATCAAGGTGATGTTTTTTCTACTTAATATGAAATCTATCTAGTCGAGGTGAAACATCCCAGAGTTATCTGTGGCAGCAGTCAGGCATGATCATTAGGCCCGACCCGACCCGACCCGACTTGGGCGGGCCAGCCGGGTTCCGGGTCGGGTCGGGTCGGGTCGGAACTTCTAGGAATCCTGGCCTGACCCGGGTATCGGGTGCCGGGTCAGGCGTGACCCGCCCCCGGGTCGGGTCGGGTAGGGGCCGGGTCGGGTCGGGTCGGGCCAGAACCCCATATGCAGTGTAAGAGGTTCTCCTTACTACTGTCCAGTGTTGCAAAGATTGAACGTTTGCTTAAAGTGGAGTCGCGACGTTAGAGGAAGTGCGCAGCCCTAGACTATGGGGGTCGCGTCCCTATTGATGCGGGCCTGGTAGGCGCGCAGGGGGCCATTAGAACGCGGGGCCAGAATTTAGTCGCTTGTGAGAGCTAAGAATAACTACTACTATAAAATCGAACATCTAGGCCTGGTCGCGCTAGGTTAAAAACCCTTACGCCAACATGGAAACATTAGTATTGGTGTTCCTAAACATTGGCGCAGGTTTAGAGAGTAGTAGTGCTTGAGAAATATTGCTTGCTAGCTACCTAGGTATTGCAGATCGATGTCAACGTCGAGGGAACAAAGAAACCCTAGACATTGACTTCGCGATCTGCTTTTCTTCGATTTGTTGAGAGGGGAAATGTCGGGTCAGGCCAATTACTCTACCCGACTTAGGGCGCGATACCCGAAACCGAGTCGGGTGCAACGTCGGGTCGGAATCCGACCCGACCCGACCCGACCCGACCCGGTTTCGGGTCTCGAGTCGACCCGACCCGGCCGGGTCAGCGCGTCAAAATCCCTGACCCGACCCGGGTCAAAACCTGGGTCGGGTCGGGTCGACCCGACCCGCCGGGGCACTATGATCATGCCTAGCAGCAGTGCGGCTGACAAGGATGTTGTCGCTGCTGCTGCCAAATTCATCAAGGTAATAACATTTTTTGAGACGTCTCGAAATGGATCAAGGTGATAATCTTGCTTGGGTTGCCCTCTGTCTTCGTGTAATGAGTCGAGTTTTGAGTCGACTCAAAAGTCGGCTTGGGTTGCCCTCTGTCTTCTCTCAATCTGTCCTTCTCTCTCTCTCTCTCTCTCTCTCTCTCTCTCTCTCTCTCTCTCTCTCTCTCTCTCTCTCTCTCTCTCTCTCTCTCTCTCTCTCTCTCTCTCTCTCTTTCTCTCTCTCTCTCAAATGGTCCGTTGTATTAATTCAGCAGGGGTACAGACATGCAGTTCTATCCATGATAACCTCAATACCATAAGCCCATCAACTCACCCCTCTTCTCTCGAACGGTCCTTGGTATTAATGTCAGCAAGGTACACACATGGTAAGGCTACAGCAATCTCACAGCAAGGCTACAGCAAAACAACAGCTAACCCCGCACTACCCCAGCCCCAGCCCCCCCCTCCCCTCTTCTCTCTCTCTCTCTCTCTCTCTCTCTCTCTCTCTCTCTCTCTCTCTCTCTCTCTCTCTCTCTCTCTCTCTCTCTCTCTCTCTCTCTCGGTCTCAAATGACTTTGCATTCCCTCTCCTTTGATTTGTGGTACTCGCACAAGTGGTCTGTCCGTGGTTATCTCATTTTCTCCCATTCGCTCCTCTCTTGGCCTCCCTCTCCGGCTCCCCCCTGCCTTCTTACCCTCTTGTCTACAGCCCGGCGCGCTGGTGAAGCAAGTGGTGGAGGGAAAGGAGACGTCCGTGTTCTGGCAGCATCTGGGCAGCAAGGGGGAGTACCCCGCTTCTAAAGAGGCCAGGGAGGCAGCACGGGACGGCAGGCTGTTTCAAGTCACGGGCAGTGGCGACAGCTTCAAGGTATGATGATGATGATGATGATGATGACTGTGAGAGGGAAGGGGTTTGAGGGGTTTCCAAGGTACGATAGTGGGGGTGAGTGAGAGTCAGGGGTTCTGGTCAGCTTCAAGGTACTTCTCCCTAGCTTCTGAGTGAGGTGCTTGCTAGATCTGAATACAGTGCCGTTCTCCCTGCCCTCCCCTCCCCATGTGGCATCGCCCCACCCCACCTCACCCTGCAGGTGCTGGAGGTGCCACGGTACTGCCAGGACGACCTGATCAATGAAGATGTGATTTTGCTGGATGCAGTCAGCCGGGAGGTGCGTGTTGCTTCCGAGGCACCTCACATCCCCTCCCTGTCATTTCTTCCCCACGTTCCCCACTGTGCAGGTGCTGGAGGTGCCACGGTACTGCCAGGGCGATCTGATCAGTGAAGATGTGATGCTGCTGGGTGCAGTCAGCCGGGGGACACGTATTCCCTCTGAGGCGCCTCTGAAGACTGAACCCCTGTGGTGACCTTCCCCATCCGCCCCTTCCATCCATTGCAGGTGCTGGAGGTGCCAGGGTACAGCCAGGAAGATCTGGACAGTGAGGACGTGATGCTGCTGGACGCTTACATGCGGAGGTGTTTATCAGCTCTAACACACCTGAATACTGTGCCACTTTCTCTGCCCTCCCCGTGTGGCATCTGCCCTCCCCGTGTGGCATCTCCCCTCCCCGTGTGGCATCTGCCCTCCCACGAACCGTGCAGGTGCTGGAGGTGCTAGGGCACAGTCAGGACGATCTGATCAGTGAAGACGTGATGCTGCTGGACTCTCACACGGAGGTGTGGAGGTGCTTGCGAGCTCGTCTGATGCATCAGCCTTAAAGCCTCAATCCTCACCGCTCCCCTCTCATATTCCCTGCCAGGTGCTGGAGGTGCCGGGGCACAGTCACGACGATCTGATCAGTGAAGACGTGATGCTGCTGGGCTGGACACTCATCGGCCTTTGATAACACTGCCACATCTTCCCTTGTCGTCGAATCTCCCCACCTGCCAGGTGCTGGAGGTGCCGGGGTACAGTCAGGACGATCTGATCAGTGAAGACGTGATGCTGCTGGACTCTCACACGGAGGTGTTTGCATGGACGGGGGTCAACGTCCCTGACAGGGAGAAGAAGGAAGCACTCAACTATGCGCTGGTGAGGTGCTGCAAGGTGGTGAGGCGGTGCAAGGTGGTGAGGCGGTGCAAGGTGGTGAGGCGGTGCAAGGTGGTGAGGTGAGGTGCATTTGTAAGGCATGAATCTTGAGCCACTTGTAATGCTGCTGGACTCACACACGGAGGTGTTTGCATGGACGGGGGTCAACGTACCCGACAAGGAGAAAAAAGAAGCACTCAACTATGCGCTGGTGAGTGGTTGCAAGGTGGTGAGGCGAGGTGCTGCAAGGTGGTGGTGAGGGGTTGAGAGGCTAGTGAGGGGTTGAGAGGCTAGTGAGGAGCTGAACACAGTAGCGCTTTTAAAAGGACGTAGTGGTGGTGCACAGTGCACACGCAATGCATGAAGCAATAACCACTTGTGATGCTGCTAGACACACACACCGAGGTGCTTGCATGGACGGGGGTCAACGTACCAGACAGGTAAAATAAAGAAGCACTCAACTATGCCCTCGTGAGCGGTGGTGAGAGGTTGAAGGCGGGGTGGCACACGGTTGTGACATCGTAAGGCTCGAGGCATGAGTTGACAGCGGTGGCATGGTGGTTTGAGTTGCTGCTCACACACACAGAGGTGTTTGCATGGACGGGGGGGTTAATGTACCTGACAAGGAGAAAAAAGAAGCACTCACCTATGCGCTGGTGAGGTGCTGCAAGGTGGTGAGACGTTGAAGGCGGTAGCTAGCTCGTATGAGTTGGTAAAAGAGGCAGTCAACTATGCGCTGGTGAGGTGCTGCAAGGTGGAGAGACGTTGAAGGCGGTAGCTAGCTCGTATGAGTTGGTAAAAGAGGCAGTCAACTATGCGCTGGTGAGGTGCTGCAAGGTGGAGAGACGTTGAAGGCGGGGTAGCTAGCTCGTATGAGTTGGTAAAAGAGGCAGTCAACTATGCGCTGGTGAGGTGCTGCAAGGTGGAGAGACGTTGAAGGCGGTAGCTAGCTCATATGAGTTGGTAAAAGAGGCAGTCAACTATGCGCTGGTGAGGTGCTGCAAGGTGGAGAGACGTTGAAGGCGGTAGCTAGCTCGTATGAGTTGGTAAAAGAGGCAGTCAACTATGCGCTGGTGAGGTGCTGCAAGGTGGAGAGACGTTGAAGGCGGTAGCTAGCTCGTATGAGTTGGTAAAAGAGGCAGTCAACTATGCGCTGGTGAGGTGCTGCAAGGTGGAGAGACGTTGAAGGCGGTAGCTAGCTCATATGAGTTGGTAAAAGAGGCAGTCAACTATGCGCTGGTGAGGTGCTGCAAGGTGGAGAGACGTTGAAGGCGGTAGCTAGCTCGTATGAGTTGGTAAAAGAGGCAGTCAACTATGCGCTGGTGAGGTGCTGCAAGGTGGAGAGACGTTGAAGGCGGTAGCTAGCTCGTATGAGTTGGTAAAAGAGGCAGTCAACTATGCGCTGGTGAGGGTGAGTCTATGAGGGGTTGATACTGGTAAGACTTGAAGGCGGGGTAGGGTTCCCAAGTCTCTCTCCCGCGCCCCTCCCTTCCTCCCTCTCCCTGTGGCAGCGCTATCTAGACCAAGTGGCAGCAGCGGAGGGGAGGTCAAAGGACACCACGGTGGTGCGAGTGGTGGAGGGGTACGAGCCCCCCACTTGCATGTGTGTGGTGCACCTCTCACTCTACCTCACCCTTCCCTCCCCTCTTTCTCCCTGTGGCAGCGCTACTTGGATCGAGTGCAGCAACGGAGGGGAGGTCAAAGGACACCACGGTGGTGCGAGTGGTGGAGGGGTACGAGCCCCCCATGTCCGTCCACCCTCCCTTGTTTCCACCCTCTCCGCCCCCATCTTGTCTCCTTTGGCCCCTCATTGCAGCGCTACTTGGATCGAGTGGCAGCAACGGAAGGGCGGTCAAAGGACACCACGGTGGTGCGAGTGGTGGAGGGGTACGAGCCCCCCATGTTCACGGCGCTCTTCCCCCACTGGGACCATGCTGCGAGCGCGGTAAGTCACAGTTAGGGCAATTGGGGCAGCTTTTTTTGAAGGAAATCGGGTGGTGCGAGTGGTGGAGTGTGGTGGAGGGGCACAAGCCTCTGATTTTCACGGCGCCCTTTCCTCTCTGGGACCATGCTGCGAGCGTGGTGAGTGTGCATGGGCGAATGTGGTGTGTGTGGCATGTGTATGTGCATCAGCAATACCTGCAAGGCTGGAGTAGTGTGGAGTGGAGTGGAGTGGAGTGGAGTGGAGTGGAGGGGTACGAGCCCCCCGTGTTCACTGCACTCCCTCCCCACCCCCACTGAGAACACGCTTCAACTGCAATGAGTCAAGCTCAGGGCAACTGCTGCGAATGTGGTGCGTGCGTGTGTGTCATGTGTTATGTGCAGCGCGTGATGCATAGGGCTCTTTTTTGAGGCGCCTAAAAAACGACCTCAATGCGTGTGTCATGTGTTATGTGCAGCGCGTGTCGCATAGAGCTCTGAGCACAGAGCTGGCAGCGGCACTCACCCGCCTCCCTCCCTCCCACTTCCTCTTTCTCTCCCACCAGGCCCTAGCATAGCAGGCCCCAAGCTGGCTCTGCTGCAGGGCACATCGCTTCCTCCCCATCTTGGTTTCTGATCATGCTCCCTGCATCCCTGTTCGCTTCCCCCCCTTGCCCTTGCTGTTATGCTCCTTGTCCCTCCTCACCCCTCCAGACCCTAGCAGACCCCTATGACCGCAAGCTGGCTCTGCTGCAGGGAAAATCGCTCGAGCTCTCCGATGTGAGTCCTTCAAACCCTAATCCCTCCCTCCCTCCCTGTTGGTGTTGCTTTTGAGAATTCTCAAAAGCAAGCTGGCGTTGCTGCAGGGAGAATCGCTCGAGGTCTCTGATGTGAGTCCCTCCCTTCCTGCCCCTGCCATCCCTTCCTTCCCTCCCTGCCCTCCCTTCACATGCTGCCCTCCCTCACGCTTCACTTTGTTTGTTCCCCCCTTCTTCTTCCCATACCTCCTTTGCCCTGCTCCTCCTTCTCCACCTTTCCTCTACCCCGTTCTTCATTTCTTGCTTGAAGAGGGGCTTCATTTCTTGCTTGAAGAGGGGCTTCATTTCATATCAGTATCTGCTGAACCTTCATCCATAATCCCCTCTTTTCCTTACCTTCCTCCCGTTCCGCTCTAATCCCTTCCCCTCCACAAACTCCCCTTCCCAACCCCGCGTCCACTCCCGTTCCCCACTTTCCCCTCCCCAACCCCGCATCCGCTCCTGTTCCCCACTTTCCCCGTACCTTCCCCAGACGGCCAAGCGTCGGCTCGCAGCACTGACGCACCAATCCCCATCCGCCACGTCATCCTCCTCCACCCCTCGCTCCTCCTCCACGCCCCACTCCCCCTCCGCCAAGCCCACCCTCTCCTCGCTCACCATCTCCCCCGCGCTCATCAAGGGGCTGGCGGGCAGGAGGGGGCCCTCCCCCGGCCCTTCCCCTTCAACCCAGCGAGCCGCTGCCATGGCTGCGCTGACTGGCGCGCTCAAAGGGGAGAAACTGGGTGAGTGGTGAGGGACAGTCGAGTTGCCTCAAGAATCAGTAAGTGCTGCGGCACAGTCTACAGGTGTTAGGTTGGATTCAGGTCTGCCACCACTCCCCCTCCGCCAAGCCCTCTCTCTCTGCGCTCACCATCTCCCCTGCCTCTCTTCAGCCTCTCAAGCTTGCCAGGGGAAACTCTCTCTGGGGCTTGGTGCGTGAAGCGGGTAACGAGGATGATGATAGCCCTGCCTCATCCATCCATACAACCTATGTTTCTCCCGGCTCTCCATCTCCACCCCTCTCCACCCCTCTCCTTCCCCTCCTTCCCCACCCACCCTTCTCCCTGATCACCCTCCCCGTCCCTCTCCCGTTCGCCCCCAGAGCCTCTCAAGCTTGCCAGAGGAAACTCTCTCGCAGGCTCGGTGCATGAAGCGGGTAATGAGGATGACGATAGTGAGGATGGGCGAGGAGGAGGGGAAGAAGGCTTATCCATACAACTCATTTCCCTGCCCACTCCCCCTCGTGTGTGATAAGTCGAGTTTTGAGTAGGAGGAGGGGAAGAAGGCTCATCCATACAACTCATTTCCCTGCCCGCTCCCCCTCCCCGTCGCTCTCCGGCCCTCACAGAGCCTCTCAAGCTCGCCAGGGGAAATTCTCTCTCAGGCTCGGTGCATGAAGCGGATAACGAGGATGATGATAGCGAGGATGGCGAGGAGGAGGGGAAGAAGGGCGGCGGTGGCAGCAGTGACAGTGCAGCTGCAGCAGGAGGAGGAGCAGGAGGAGCAGGAGGAGCAGGGAATGGGGAAGCAGCAGTGGAGGGGGTGTGTTATTCATTTGACAGGCTGATCATTGACAGCAAGAACCCGATTCGAGGGATTGACACTACAAGAAGAGAGGTGAGAGTGGGGGAGGGAGGGGGGAGGGCGGGGAGAGTGGGGGGGGGATTGAAAGGAGCGAGTGGCAGCAGTTGAGGGGTTGTGTCGATCGTTAATGGAAGACAACAATGTGAGTTGCAATCATGGAGAATCCTGCTGCATGCCGGAACGCGATGATTCGGAAGGGCAGGCAGGAGGTGGCAGCCAATGGTGTGGCGACACAATCGTACACGCAGGAGGATTCTCAACAACCGAGACTGTCAGAAGAGTCGCAGTTGCAACTCACATTGTCATCCGCCACCTCCATTCCATTGCCCTTCCTCGAGTGCCTTCCCCTATCCCGTGTCCTCACATGCAGTCCCCCTGCCCTGCAGTCCCCCTGCCCTGCAGTCCCCCTGCCCTGCAGTCCCCCTGCCCTGCAGCCCCCCTGCCCTGCAGTCCCCCTGCCCTGCAGTCCCCCCACCCTGCAGTCCCCTTGGCCTAACCAAAATCAACGCTTCCGGCTCTCTGATTCCCTCCCTACCCGTCCTGGATGCCTTGGTTCGGAGATTCTATTCCTCAAAGCTCCTCAACAATTACCCTCCTCTTTATCCCCTCCCTCCCCCGTCCAGTCGTACCTGTCAGAGGCGGATTTCCTCCGCATATTTGGGTACGACAAGGGCAAGTTTTATGCCATGCCCAAGTGGAAGCAGGACCAGAGAAAGCGCTCTCTCGGGCTCTTCTAGTTTGCAAGCCGACCGCATTGTTTAGGTAGGATTTTTTTTTGGTTGTCATAGAAGAAAACGACCCCACACTAGTGAAAGCAGTTTTAGGGACGCGTGCAAGAAACAGGACACATTGAAGATTTTTTTTTTGGTCTCAAGGTAGACTAACAACTCCATTATTTGTCAACAGAAGCCGATATTTCTCTCAACTCAACCAGTGTCCCATTTCCCTTCTGCAGTTGGTTTTTCCTGCTGCCACAGGAGCATGCACAATTCTCATGCTCCCTCCCCTCTTATTGCTGGCATATATTGAGGATACACTCGCCACGCATACCGGCGTACGAATATACGCAGCACGCATGATTTGTGCAAGGACGCACAAAGATCTCGAAGTACCCGTTTTCATTGGTGTTTGACACGTCAGGTATCACCAATAAGGTGCTGCCTTGTCAGCGCCAGCGCATCGCTTCCGCGCTGTCAACCAGTTGGTCCCTGCCTATAACAGTGTAGAGCGCTTGACCAGATAGATATCCATTCCAAATGTGGGACGCATTTTTCTTGCTGGGAACAATGGGGAGCTGCAAACATCGAGTGTAGAGTTCCTTCAGCACTGTGAACAGAAGTGAGAATCATAAATGTCATTTCGTAAGTTTCTCTACGCCACCTCCTAAGTTTCGCAAACCAGGAACCAATCCTCAGTTCCCACTGTATTGTACTTGCTCATTCGCCGCAGAAACTCGTCATCCGTCCTTCCGACGAATTCGCGCACTGTGTTGTGAGGAAGCAACGACAAGATCAGCAGCAGCAAAAATTCCAACCTCCCAGGAAATCAGACCAAGCGCTTTACACACGCTTGCCTCCTCTGCTTGCTTTGCATTCGCCGCAACTCAACTCGAATCTGCGGCATCTCTGTCTGCACCCACCGCACTCGTCCCTCGAAGCGGCTTCGGCTTCAGTTGGCTCCCGCAAGCTTTTCTTTCCGTTGTTGCTGTTCGCGGTGACTTTTGAGTCGACTCCAAGGCACCTCTGACCTTGACTGTACCGTTGTTGCATTGCACCGGAACTCACCTTGCGCTACCGGCAAGTGAGAAAGCTTTACCAGTAATCACTTCGTAGTTGCTACGCTTTTTCTGGTACACTCAAGCCGGGAATAATGCCTGCGACGCTCTTCGTCTCCGCATCTCCTGGGCTATCCGAAAGGCCGTCGCACTTTCTTCTCGCGTCTCGCCGTCCTCTTGGCCACTCGTCGCCGCCCGGTTTCCTGCGGCTTGGCGAAAGCAGGCGAAGGAATGCCGCTCGAGTGGTAACCTCGCGTGCGAAGAAGGACGGGGACGAGCCCGAGAACGACGCGCCCGCGGGAGTCGCGCTCTCGTCTACCAAAAGCCCGCGACTCGACGACTTCGAGCTCCCCGCGGTGGGCGGCGGCAGGCCCGGCGGCGACGACGGCGACGAAGCCGGCGCGATTCACGGCGGCGGGTGGGCGCCTCGGGTGTACCACCACGAAGATCTTTATTTGAGCGATCTGGAAAAGAGCGGAAAGGGGAAGAAGAAGGGAGATAAGAAGAAGAAAAAGGGCGACACGGCAGAGGAGGTTGAGGATGGAACGAAGGCGGAGGTAGCGGCGGGGAAGGTGGAGAGCGAGACGAAGGAGGTGACAAGCCCCGTGACGGGTAGCTCCTCGGGCAGCGAAACGGGCAGCTCATCGGGCAGCGAAGGGAAGAAAAAGTCGAAAAAGGAGAAGGAGAAGGACAAGAACGGTCGCAGCCGCGGGGTGGAGCCAACGGGGCACTACCCGGACGACCTTTCGTCGCACGCCAAGGCGGCGGAGAAGGATAAGGGGAAGAAGAAGAAGAACTACAACTACGAGGACGAACTGGAGAGGCTGCAGGTGAGCTTATAACGGGTACCAGGTGTTTTTTCGGGGTTAGGTAAAATGGGGAGGGTATAGGAGAAAGGGGTGGGGGATGGAGAGGAAGAAACGGGGGGGGGGGGGGGGGGGGGGGGGGGGGGGGGTGTACACAAGTTTGTTGCGTGTTTAAGAGGAAGAGGATAGGGGGGGGGGGGGAAAATATATTAAAAACTTATTCTAAGCACACTCCGTTTGAAGCACAATGCACCACCATGTGCGCGAAACTTGGGGAAATGGTGTAGGCATTTTGAAACTTGGTTCTTATGAGAGCTTCACTTGCACAAGCTATGTCCTCCTCCTCCTCCTCCTCCTCCTCCTCCTCCTCCTCCTCCTCCTCCTCCTCCTCCTCCTCCTCCTCCTCCTCCTCCTCCTCCTCCTCCTCCTCCTCCTCCTCCTCCTCCTCCTCCTCCTCCACCTCCTCCTCCTCCTCCTCCTCCTCCTCCTCCTCCTCCTCCTCCTCCTCCTCCTCCTCCTCCTCCTCCTCCTCCTCCTCCCCCCTCTCCTCCCTCTCCTCCCCTTCCTCCCCCTCCTCCCCTTCCTCCCCCTCCTTCCCCTCCTCCCCCTCCTCCCCCTCCTCCCCCTCCTCCCCCTCCTTCCCCTCCTTCCCCTCCTTCCCCTCCTTCCCCTGCTTCCCTTCCTCCCCCTCCTCCCCCTCCTCCCCCTCCTCTTCTCCTCTCCTCTTTAACACTCCTCATGTGGTGCTCATCGTCGGAGTGTTGTCATGCCAGGGGGAGTGTTTAAGCAGAAGGGCCCCTTAACCCTTTTCATGCCTTCAACCTCCCCCCTCTATCCTTCCCCCTCCTTTCTTCTCTTCTCTCCCCCATTGCCAGGTCGGGCGCTTGAAAGTAACTGCAGGAGGTGACTTTTGAGTCGACTCAAAAGTCACCTCAGTAACTGCAGGAGTGGAACAAGAAGAAGGGCCCGCACGTGCGCTAGAGGTCCTTACATCCCTTTAAACCCCACCCCTTCCCCCCCACTTCCCCACCGCCCCCCATTACAGCTCGAGCTGGTGAAGCTGCAGGAGTGGATCAAGAAGAAGGGCCTGCGCGTCGTGGTCATATTCGAGGGGCGCGACGCGGCCGGCAAGGGTGGTATTATCAAGGTCATCACGGCGCCGCTAAACCCACGTGTGTGCAGCATCAAGGCTCTGGGAACCCCCTCGGACCGCGAGCGCACTCAGTGGTACTTCCAGCGCTATGTAGCCCACCTTCCGGCTGCGGGCGAAATGGTTCTGTTCGATCGAAGCTGGTATAACCGCGCGGGGTTGAGCGGGTCATGGGGTTCTGCACGGACGAAGAGTATCGCGAGTTTCTCCGGTCGTGCCCCGAGTTTGAGCGCATGCTGGTGCGGTCGGGGATTATTCTGGTCAAGTACTGGATTTCGGTGAGTCCCGAGGAGCAGGAGAAGCGGTTTAAGGAGCGGCTGGATCGGCCGGAAAAGCGGTGGAAGCTCAGCGACATGGACCTGCAGTCACGGGCGCGGTGGGCGGATTATTCGTACGCAAAGGATGTGATGTTTGGGTATTGTGATATCAAGCAGGCACCGTGGTATGTGGTCCCGTCGGATGATAAGAAGGCTGCGAGGCTGAGTGTGATGGCGCACTTTGCTCAGCTTGATCCCGTATGAGGATCTGATTGAGCCGAATGACGTGAAGATTCCGCCGCTCCAGGAGGATTATTATGTGCGACCACCAGTCACGGACCAGACCTTTGTTCCACAGTTGTTTTGAGGGTTGCACATGTGGACATATACTTCTTAGCACAAGAAGGTAATACTATCTCGTTTGTTAGAGGTTGGTATTGCGATCAACATTTAATCCACCTTAGGTTGTGTTTTTTCTGCTTGTGGATTTTGCTCCCATATAGAAATGTGTTTAGCAATATTTACAACATAGGTTTTTTACGGCCTACCTTTGGTTTGACATTGTGTCGCGTTTCTCTGTAGCCTCATTTTCGCATTGCTTCCCACGATTCTCGAAAACGAGGTCTGGATGTATCCGAGCCAGAACCCCTAGCTAGGTGGTCGCGTCGCGTCTGCGTATGCTTCCACGGCATGCGAACCCGCACTTCTCTGACACCTCTTGCGATCTGGCGTCTGGACCAATACTGCACAAGAGTGTCACATGATACGAACACGCCGCTTCTCGCAGCCAATAGACGGAACGCATCTTGGTCTCTGCTGGCCAGATGTAACATTCGCAAACCTCTTGCCACATCCCTCCCACACGAGCACGACATTTTGCACGCTTGCTCCCTTTCGTCCAATGAAATCCTCAAGCCGCTGCTGCTGACGTTTTGAATCGGTGGAAGCAACAGACAGTGACCCTTGGGAAATTTCTCCAACTGCTCGCACAGTTGCGAGTACTCACGATATTGTGGTAACCCGTGTTCGTTTGCTCGCGATAGTGTGCTTTCTGACAGGACGGATTGAGGATGATCTCAAGGTGTTTCCCGCCTTTCATTTCTGTTGCCCTTCAACTCCCTGAGTCCTGCGAATCACCGTGCTTCCCTGACCGCCATTCTTCCCTGAATCTGGTGGCCAAATCCTTATGTGGCCTTGCTTCGCCTCGCCTTGCATCCCTCCACTTCACTCCCCTCTTGCCTGAACATTCCCTATCCTTGAGCTCAATGTTCAATCCTAACAGCCGTTGAAAGTGACGGATCGTCGCTCTCTGTCGCCGTTTCAATCGATGCACATCAACGCATAAGACTTGCGTCTCTCTGCCTGCTCAGCGTGACGGGGTAGTGATAGGCGGATCTGCTTAGGTTTGACAGGCCTGTCTACTTCTCCCGCGAGACTGGCGGTTCTTAAGTAGTTTAGCTTTAGCTGCTAAGAGATGCGATTCTGGCTTAACCTGGAATAACATTTGTCTAGAGACATAGTTATTTCTGCTCTAGATTTCCTTCGTGTGATACTCCAATATGTTGCCTGTAGCTAATGGAGCCGTGTTCAGCGGAGGGCCAAGCATGGTGGCTGAATACTGCCGTCTCCTTGGGGGAACACGGCCCATCAACAGCGTCCTTATTGCCAACAATGGCATCGCAGCGGTCAAGTTTATCAACAGCATAAGGTTAGACACCAAAAATAACATTACGAAGAAGCGTTTAAGAGCCCCAAACCAGCGGAACGGAGATTGTTGTTGCAGTTTTCAATGCGCATGTTTCTTGTTAATCCTGATCATAAGTACTAAGGTAGCTAATTTTTACCTTCCGACGGTACTTTCTAACCCTCGTTCGTCAGATCATGGGCATTCGAGACCTTTGGTCAAGAGCGAGCTATACAGCTGGTTGCAATGGCTACGCCGGAAGACATGCGTGCGAATGCCGAACACATTCGCATGGCGGATACATTCGTTGAGGTTCCTGGTGGGACTAACAACAACAACTACGCTAACGTGCAGCTTATCGTCGAGGTATGACTTAAGTCCGTGTGTATCACATGAAATGACTGCTTAAACTTGTTATCGCAGTCTGTATTGCTCAGCTTACGTGGTTTCTGTACAGCAATAATTTGCAAATCTGATGTCATTTTTCAGGTCGCGGAGCGAACTAAAGTGGACGCCGTGTGGCCTGGCTGGGGTCACGCGTCTGAGAACCCGGATCTTCCGCAGTCGCTCTCGGCTAAGGGTATCGCGTTCCTCGGCCCTTCGGCGCATTCCATGGCGGCACTAGGCGACAAAATCGGCTCCACGCTTATAGCGCAGACGGCCCGAGTTCCAACAATCCCGTGGAGTGGCTCCAGCGTAAGTGCAAGCCACATCAGAGAGAGAGAAAAAAACATGACGTACTTGTTGTCGTGAGTTCCAACGCTCCTGTGGAGTGGTTCCAGCGTAAGTGCAGGCCACTTGGGAGAATTCACATAGTTGTTGTCGTGGTTCCTGAATCATTTTAGTTTTTTATTGTGAAGCGTCATCATCATTTGTGAGAGTCCTTCCGGTAAACACATTTGCTCTAGCATATCTCACACTCAGCTCAACCGACTAATGCGGCTTCACTCGTTTTACCCTACTGTCTGTGCGGCCTCCTCGTGCGTGGCGTGCACCAGATTATCCTGCCGGACGACCAGTGCAGGACGGAGATCGAGGAGGAGCTGTACCACCAGGCGTGCGTGCGCACCACGGAGGAGTGTCTCGACTGCTGCAACCGCGTCGGCTACCCGGCCATGATCAAGGCCTCCTGGGGTGGTGGCGGCAAGGGTATCCGCAAGGTGAACTCACTGACTGTTGTTTTCTTTTGGTTGTTTGTTTGATTGGTTGATTTCTTGTCTCTGATTGTTTCTGCTTAGAATGGCCGGTTGAGTACGACTGATGAGTGATGCTTTCCATAAATGGCTGTGGCGGCGAGTGCAGGTGCACAACGAGGAGGAGGTGGTAACCCTGTTCAAGCAAGTGCAAGGCGAAGTGCCCGGCTCGCCTGTATTCGTCATGAAGGTGGCAGCCCTGGTAAGTGTTTTCTGGTAGAATCAGAAACGCGTTCAGGGCATAAGTTACAAACGAGTTTGGAGAATCTTGAACGAGGCATCGCCACACACTGCACTGCGCAGCACTGGGGCCGCTTTTCGCAAACAAACAAGTCTTGAATTCCGAACCGCTTTTCGCCCTGGTCTCCTTTTCTTCTTTTTTACTCTCAGCCAGTTCCATAACTGTACTGTATCTTCCTTTGCCCCTCGCATGCACTACTCCGCAGAGTCGGCACTTGGAGGTGCAGCTGGCGTGCGACGCGCATGGCAACGTGGTGGCGCTACACAGCAGGGACTGCAGCATCCAGAGGCGGCACCAGAAGGTGGGTTTGTGTTCTTGTGAGTCTTATGACGAGTACAAAGCCCACGAACGAACAGTTAGTAAGTAGCCAAGCTCAAAGCGAGGAGAAGCGAAGGAGCATATTATGCTGTGCCATGTGGGTTTGCGAGAGCCTGACTGCGTGAATGAGGGGATTAATCGCTTACCAAGCTAAACATTAACATAAATGCGAGGAAGGCAGGTTTCATGCACAGTCAGCCAGCCCAGCTTCTGTTATTGGTGCGCTGATATGCTCTTCACTGAGCCGTCGCTGAACCATTACGATTCCGTTATTGACTCATTGCTGACTCATCTCTGACTGTACGCTGACTGCGCTGATTGTGTGCTGACTGCGTTGACTGCGCTGATTGTGTGCTGATAGTGTTCTGCCTGTGCGTTGACTGTGCCCTGAGTGTGCGCAGATCATAGAGGAGGGGCCGATCACCGTGGCGCCCCCCGACGTGGTGCACGAGCTGGAGCAGGGCGCGCGGCGGCTGGCCAAGATCGTGGGGTACTGCGGTGTGGCGACGGTGGAGTACCTCTACAGCATGGCGGGCAACTCTTTCTACTTCCTTGAAGTCAACCCGCGCCTCCAGGTACGCTAATGTTAGCCTGGCCCGCATGTAGGCTCGTCCTGGCCTTGGTTTATCCTGGTGGCTGAGGTCAATGGAAGATTGCGGCCAAATCTTCTCAAAGTAAACTTTCCTAACCCCTTCTAAACCCCCTCATGACCCCGTAAACCCTCTCAAACCCCTTCGTAACCCCTTTCCCATGCAGAGCATCCGGTAACAGAGTGGCTAGTAAGGGTGAACCTACCAGCGGCTGCAGCTCTTTCCATTGGCCTAACCTTCTGCCTGTCCACCCAAACTCGTTCCTTCCTCCTACCCCCTTAACCCACCCCTCCTCCAAGGTGGAGCATCCAGTGACGCAACGCAGCTCTCCATCGCCATAGCTGTGTGCTGCTCTCTGAATTGATTTGGTCCTCCCCCTTACCTCCACACCCCACCTCCCCTCCCAGGTGGAGCATCCAGTGACGGAGTGGATCGCCGGGGTGAACCTGCCAGCAACGCAGCTCTCCATCGCCATGGGCATCCCGCTCTTCCGCCTCCCCGAGATCCGCCGCTTCTACGCCCAGGGAGGCGGGGGCTCTAGCGACTGGCGCAGCTGCGCGGACCTGGAATCGTTCAATTTCGACGATGTGACCTCCACGAAGCCTAAGGGTCATGTGGTGGCGGTGAGGGTGACGAGTGAAGACCCCGAGAACGGGTTCAAGCCCACCAGTGGACGCGTGCAGGAGCTGAGCTTCAGGAGCAAGCCGGATGTGTGGGCGTACTTTTCGATCAAGGCGGGCGGCCAAATCCACGAGTTCTCTGACTCTCAGTTTGGTGAGTCACGGATCAGTCTGATGAGTCACAGAGCGGTGGGAGCTGAGGTTAGAGCGGAGTTGAAAGGGTGACACCAGCCAGCAGTGGCCAGGCATTCAAATCGTTCCGTTTCCCTCATCTCGCCCTCTCTCCTGCCACAACTCTACCTGTACATGCAGGTCACCTGTTTGCATTCGGGCAGGACCGACCCACAATTATAGCCAACATGGTGCTGGCGCTAAAGTCTTCTGTCTCTCCTCCCATCTCTTCTCGCCCCCTCCCTCCTGTCACGACTCCCCCCGTACACGCAGGCCACCTGTTTGCATTCGGGCAGGATAGGCCGGCAGCCATAGCCAACATGGTGCTGGCGCTCAAGTCGGTGCAGATCCGAGGGGAGATACACACCAACGTTGACTACACCGCCGACCTGCTCCAGGTGTGCCTCTCGTTCGCTCCTTCACCCCCTTTCCGCTATTCGCTCACTCGCCCCACGACTCTGAACTTTGAACCTTGAACCTGGAATCCCGAATCCCAAACCCTCAACCCAGAACCCCGAATTCTTAACCCATAACTTCGAATCTCGAGTCCAGATCATCAAACCCTGCCAATCTATGACTGATAGCTCGCACTGCCATCTGGCTGCAGAGGCTGGCTGAACTCCCAAAGCCCATCCTTTCACTCCAGCTCACCATTCTTGTGCTTGTGGTGCCTCGTGATTTACCCTTGTTTTACCGGTTGTGGGTACCTGTGTATTCCTCTCGAGAATCTGGCAGGACAAGATTACAAGAGCAGCACGATTCACACAGGCTGGCTGGACTCGCGCATTGCCATGCGCATTAAGACGCAGCGCCCAAAGCGCAGTCTTCCCCTCTAACTCATCCGTCTTTTTGCTTCCTGTATCCCACGATCCACCCCTGTGCTTGCTGCAACTCTTGTGGTCCCGTCCTGTGTGTGCATCTGGCAGGACAAGGAGTACAAGAACAACGTGATTCACACAGGTTGGCTGGACTCGCGCATTGCCATGCGCATTAAGACGCAGCGCCCTCCCTGGCACATCTGCGTCATTGCTGGAGGCCTCTTCGTGAGTACCTCTCACTCCACCCTTCACCGCCGCCTCAAACCCCCATCCAACCCCCTGTGTCGCCCACCCTCTGCACCATTTCCGCCCTGTTTTCCATGCCTGTCCCCTGAGACTCGGGGCCGTCTGATCTCGCCACGTGATGTCTAAGCACGCACTTTTGCATCCCTGCTCCCAACCCCTCTCCTGCGTGGGCAGATGGCGTCCCGCACTGCAGCTGCCCGTGTGTCAGAGTACATGGGGTACCTCGAGAAGGGGCAGATCCCCCCAGTGGTGAGTCTTGGGTCTTGAGAAGGATTAGAGATATGAGGTTAGCTGCATGCACGCAGGCGTATGCAGAGCCTAGGCACGTCTGTGTCCCTGGCGAAAAGCCGTGTGAGTACTGGTGTGATTACTGGGTTGTATCACCAGAATCTGATCATGCCAGACTGAGACCTCTTGTGTGGGTTTTGCCACTCTTCCTCCTCTTTGGGCTGAACCAACACTCACAGAATCAATTTCCCTTGTTTTTTTTTCCTTCTCTGTGCCTGGTGGGCTGGCTGGTTGGTTGGTTGGTTGTTTGCAGAGCATCTCACTTGTACACTTCAACCTGGTTCTCAACATTGATAACGTCAAGTACATGGTGAGCGCCCTACATGGTGTGTCTCGTCTCCCTTACCGTCTCAACTGTGCCTCTTCCTGTTGCTCCAATCACTGCTCCCAGTTGTTGCAATAAATTTACCATCACCCCACACCGACCCTCGCCCCTTGCTCCGCCCCTACCAGCTCGCCCTGAGCAGGCAAGGCCCTGGCAGCTACAAGATCCGCATGAACCAGCAGGAGGTGCTGGCTGAGGTGCACACACTCAGGGACGGCGGTTTGCTGTGCCAAGTAAGCTTCACCCAGTTCAATGCTCTTAGGAATGGCTTTTTTGATACTTGCCGAAACGTTCGTTTCGTACCAGAGGTGTACACACTCAAGACAGAACAGACTCTAAGCCACCTACCACTTCTCCGCCCCCACTCCGCTTCCAGCTGGACGGCAACAGTTACATCGTGTACGCAGAGGAAGAGGCTGCGGGGACCCGCCTGCTCATTGGGGGCCGTCCGTGCCTGCTCCAGGTGAGATTTCATCATGAAGAAGGTCACCTGTACTTTTTCCTGGTAGAGGCTTGCTGACCTGGTGAGTTTCTCTGTATGGGTGTTTGCGTGGGTTTGCCTTCTTACGCCAGTTGGGACTTTGGGATGTGGTGAAGCTTCCCGTTCCCTAGTTCCTCCAGATTTCATCCCACTCCCTCTTTCCCCGCTCACCTTCTGTTCTTTCCTCACAACCATTCTCAACCACTCCAGAACGAGCACGACCCGTCCAAGCTGGTGGCCGAAACCCCATGCAAGCTGATGCGGCAGCTGGTAGAGGAAGGGGGCCACCTGAACATGGACGAGCCATACGCCGAGGTGGAGGTCATGAAGATGTGCATGCCGCTGCTCGCCCCGGCCTCTGGCTGCATCCACTGGCGCATCTCCGAGGGCCAGACCATGACCGCAGGAGATCTGATCGCCACCCTTGATCTGGACGATCTGACGGCCAGGAACGTCGTGCAGCAGTTCACAGGGGATTTCCCCGAGCTGGGCACGCCCACGGTGCAGCCAGACAAGGCGCACCACCGGTTTGCGGAGGCGCTCAAGAAGGCCGGGCTGATCCTGGCTGGATACGAGCACAACAGCACCGAGGTGAGGCTGGGTGGATGCATGGTGGGGAGTGTATTTGCGTGAAGGAGGGTAGATGATGCGGGAGAAGGCAAGAATCGGGATGAGTTGTGCGGAAGATTAACTTTTCTTCATGGTAGATTTTCCGGATCTCCGAAGCATGTCAACCTCTGTCCCTCTGCTCCTCTTATCCTCTGCTCCTTTCTTTGTCGACACATCCATTAGGTGGTGGAGGAGCTGATTCATGGGATCAAGGACGAGTCAGTGCCGGCGCTGCAGTGGCAGGAGATGGCGTCTGTGCTCGCCACGCGCCTGCCCAAGGAGCTCAAGGCCGAGGTAAGCCGCTCGCGCGTGTGTGTGTGTGTGTGTGTGTGTGAGGGTTATGCAGTGTGTTGAAACGTGCCATAGCTGTGGGTACTGTTGAAGGGGTCTGAGTCAAGCCAGGGCGCGTCCACCCCACGCCTGCTCTCCTTCCCGCGGCCAGGTGACGGAGCAGGCGATTAGGGACTTTCCACGCACCTCCCCATCCGCCTTCTCATCTCCGCCTTCTCCCGTATACTACTCCAATTTTCCCCTTTCCACCCCCTCCCCCACTCCACACCCTGGGCAACCCCTCAGCTGGATGCGCTGCTGAAGGTGTCCGAGTCCACCCAAGGAACGTCCTCCCCGCGCCTGCTCTCCTTCCCCGCGCCCGAGTGCCTGCATGTGCTGCGCTCGTTCCTGGACCGCCTGCCCGCCAAGGACCGCATGGGGCAGCAGCAGCTCGTGGCGCCGCTGCTGCTGGGATGCCGTTGGTGGCAAGCTATCAAAAACCCTCTCCTCACTTCCCCACCCCCTTTTTCTCTCTCCTCCTCCCACACCCTCCGCCCCCCATCCCCCACCATCCCCCACCCATCCCCCACCCATCCCCCACCCATCCCCACCCATCCCCCACCCATCCCTCAACCATCCCTCAACCTTCTCAGCTGGATGCGCTGCTGAAGGCGTCAGAATCAACCCAAGGAACGTCCTCCCCGCGTCTGCTCTCCTTCCCCGCGCCCGAGTGCCTGCATGTGCTGCGCTCGTTCCTGGACCGCCTGCCTGCCAAGGACCGCATGGGGCAGCAGCAGCTCGTGGCGCCGCTGCTGCGAGTGGCTGAGCTGCATGCGGGCGGCCGGGAGCAATTTGGGCTCACGGTGATTCAGGACCTGCTGAGCCAGTACCTGAGCGTGGAGAAGAACTTCTGTGAGACGCCGCAGGTGAGTTAAAGTGTGGGATTGAGTGACTGAGGGAGTGACGGGCTGACGGTGATTCAGGACCTGCTGAGCCAGTACCTGAGTTAAAAGAACTTCTGTGAAACGCCGCAGGTGGGTTGGAGGGGCTTGGGAGTGAATGAGCGTGGGAATTATCTGAACGTGGTTGAAGGAGTGAGTGATTTGAGTGTGGGGATGAGTGGAGTAGCTGAGCTGCATGCAGGGGGCAGGGAGCAGTTTGGGCTGACGGTGATCCAGGACCTGCTGAGCCAACACCTGAGCGTGGAGAAGAACTTCTGTGAGACGCCACAGGTGGGTTTGGGAAAGAGATGAGAGTTTAGAGTTGTGAGGGTGGGAGAAGCTCTGTACGGAATCCACATCCACTTTCATTCATGCCAGACACATGCCCTAAACCATTCATGTGCCAAAACCAGACACAGCTGCCAAAACCAAACAAACCCACACACACCCCTACCCCTCCTTCCTCTCGCCCACACACGTTCGTCCTTCCCCACAGGCGGACGTGATTGAGGGGCTGAGGCAGACGCACAAGAAGGACCTGGCCAAGGTGGTGGACGTGGTGCTGTCCCACCAGGGCGTGGCGCGCAAGAACGACCTGGTGGTGGCCATTCTGGACCGCATGGTGGCTCCCAACCCCAGCAAGCACAAGGCCATGCTCAAAGAGCTCTCCTCGCTCTCCAATGTCAAGCACTCCAAGGTACGCCCGCCCGCCTTCCCTTCTCTCCGCTCTCCTCCTCCCTCCCCGCGTCTCTCCCCTTTCTGCACTCATTCAAAGCCCGAGGAGCTGCGCCTCTCTGCTCCTCTCCTCGTTCTGCTCAGCTTGATGTGCTGCTGCACCTCCCCCTCCTCTTTTCACCCAGGTGTTGGTGAAGGCGAAGCTCCTGCTGGAGCAGGTCCAACTGACAGAGCTCCAAGCCGGCGTGGTGCACAACCTCTCCAACCTCGACATCTCCGAGGACGCCCTCTCCTCCGCCAGCAGCAAGCAGGAGCTCTCCTCCACATCATCTTCCGCAGCAGGAGGAGCAGGAGGCGGAGTAGCAGGAGGGGCTGGAGGAGACGCGGCAGACCTGCTGACTCCCAGATCTCTGGATCCGAAGGCGGTGAAGGAGTCTCTAGATGCACGTATGGAGCGGCTTGTAGACGCGCCGGTGGCCATCGACGACGCGCTGACGTCCCTCTTTGACTACATGGATGCTGACGTGCAGTCCCGGGCGGTCGAGACGTACATTCGGGCGGCTGTACCAGCCGTATATTGTGAAGGACTCTGTCACGGTGGTTGCCGGGAACAACAAGTCTGTTGTTGCCTCGTGGGAGTTTTGGGAGGAAGGACCACCGCCGTCGATCGAGCAGCTAGAGGAGGGCCAGGATAGCCCCACGTTCAAGGCGCCGTCTACGGGGGGTGTGAAGCGGTGGGGAGTGATGGTGGTGGCGTCCACGCTGCAGGAGGTGAAGGATTTGCTGCGGCCTGTGATCTCGCAGCCGGACGGGTGGTTGCTGAGTGCGGTGGATGGGAAGCAGACGCGCGTGGCTGCCACTAGGAAGGCCAGTGCGGAGGACCTGCCGTTTGGGGGCATGAAGCGGATTCGCACGTTCCTGGGGATCCCGTTCGGGGCGGGGAACGTTGCTCATGTGGCTCTGCTGCCCAAACTCGACAGCCTGTAAGCTCCCTTGCTCTGCGCAATCTGCTTTCTAGTCATGGCAATAAAGCGGCAGCAATACACTCTTGTATCCCCACAAGGATTAACGCTTTGTGGTGGATGAACGAGAGCCTGCACATCAGATCCCCGTTTGCCTTTCCTTTTCCCTTAGCCATCCTCTCTCATCCTTGATTGCTTTCCCTCCCCACAACACAGTGCGGACAGCCCGTCCACCTTCCGCATGGAGGACCGCATTCACACGCTGCGCCGGTCCCTGCTGGACGCGGATGCGGCCTCCACGCTGCACGGTGCGGGCGTGACGGCCGTGAGCTGCATCGTGGTGCAGCACGGGCAGGGCCGCGCGCCTCTCAGGCACTGCTTCCACTGGAGTGAGGAGAGGGAAACCTTCGAAGAGTGGCCTCTCATGCGCCACGTGGAGCCGCCTCTCTCCGACCTGCTGGAACTGGTTCGTGCCGAGGGTTGTGTTCTGTGGTGCATGGGGTCGTGGGCCTGGTTGGGTTCTTGGTATACTATCATTCGGTTATGGGTATGCTGGATTCTTGCTGTACTCGGGTTTCGCATGCCTCCATTCTCACCCTGTTCGGTCCCTCATCCCCTTCCTCCTCTCCCCCCCCCCCCCCCCCCCCCCTTCCCCTTTTCAAAAACAGCAAAAGCTGATGAGTTTCGGCGAGATGCAGTACAAGCGGTCGCGCAACCGCCACTGGCACATCTACTCCACCACCGAGAAGCCCTCTGGCATTCGCCGCCTCTTCCTCCGTTCCGTCGTGCGCCTCCCCAAATCCGCCACTGGCGGAGGAGGCGACACCAGCCCCCCTGGCGGCAGCAGCGGAGGCAGCAGCAGCTGGATCGGCGGTGGTGGTGCCGATGGTGGTGCTGTGGGTGGTGGGGCGGAGGTGACGCGTGAGCCGTCGTTTTCGGACTCGCTGGTGAGCGAATGTACGGTTCAGATCGAGGTGGCGGCGCGGACGCTGGCGGCGGCAATCCAGGAGGCATTGGATGAGCCGGAGCTGGAGACAACGCTCAAGGCGGACCATGCCCACATCTTCATGGCCCTGCTGGGGTCACTGTCATTCGAAATGAGCCCCCGCGCCTCAGGGTAAGTTGCTTATGTAAGGGCCTCGTACAAAAGCTCGCCTCAGGGTAAGCTGCTTATGTAAGGGCCTCGTACAAAAGCTCGCCTCAGAGGGCGATCCAGGAGGCGTTGGATGAGCCGGAGCTGGAGACGACCCTCAAGGCGGACCATGCCCATGTCTTCATGGCTCTCCTGGGATCCCTGTCGTTCGAGATGAGCCCCCGTGCATCTGGGTGAGTTTGACATGAGCTTTTGCGCACCAGGGGTAAAGTTGGTGCACCAAGGTAAGAGTCTGCCTCTGACTTTAAATGTCCCCATTCTAACCACCCTCTCGCCCTCCCCACCTTCCCCTCGTCAACCTGCCCGAGGTGGAGCGCATGCTGTGCGGGCTGGGCCGCCTGGCAGACACCAAGGTCGCCCCGTGCATGCGCTCGCATTAACTCCTTCCCTCCTCTTACCACTGCCCCCCCTCTCCTTCCCCTCGCTCCAGCTTCAACCTGGCGGAGGTGGAGCGCATGCTGTGCGGGCTGGGCCGCCTGGCAGACGCCAAGGTGGCCCCGCGCATGCGCTCGCTGGCGCTGTGCATGTGGGAGGCGCGTGTCAAGGTGAAGGGCGTGGGCGTGGGCTCTGGCGCCTGGCGTCTGGTGGCCGAGAACCCCAGCGGCCATGCCTGTCTCGTGCAGGTGAGCTTGGGGTTTACCCAGTCTTCTACCGATGATTCCTGTCTCCTCCACTATACTTCACCTCCCTATCCTGCCACGCTCTCTAGTCCTGTCAACCCCTCTTCCCTACCCCTGAACTTTCCCCTCCTGTCCTTCCCTGTAACTCCTGCCCTTCCTCGGCACTCCCACACACCAGGCGTACATGGAAGCCGACGATGCGGCCGGCAAGAACTTGTCTACTTCACCATGTGCATCTCCTCTTACCCTATCCCCCATACCCCTATCCTTTTCCGGCACTCCCACACACCAGGCCTACATGGAAGCCGACGACGCAGCCGGCAAGAACTTTGTCTACTTCTCCTCGCCGCCCAAGCTGCCGCGCACCGACATGCCATCATGGCCCGACAACGCACTCATCCTCCCGCCCGCCGCGCTCCCCGTGCGCGTCACCTCCTCGCTGCTGCCCATGCCGTCCCCCTCCGGCCCCCCGGGGGGTGGTGGCACCACGATGACCCTCAAGGGCATGGGCCCGCTGCATGGCACGCCGCTCTCCGCGCCGTATGGTCCGTTGAGCTCCATTGACAAGAGGAGGCTGGCGGCTAGGAAGGCCGGGACCACCTTCTGCTATGACTTCCTCTCCGTGAGTGCCGCTTGGGGTTGTGGTGGTGGTGCTGCTGCTGTTGGTGCTGGTGGTGGGGGTGCTGGTGGTGGGGGTGCTGGTGGTGGTGGGGGTGCTGGTGGTGGGGGTGCTGGTGGTGGGGGTGCTGCTGGTGGTGGGGGTGCTGGTGGTGGTGGGGGTGAGCTTTGGCTGCTTGTCGTTGTTGTGGCATTGTCTGTGGTAGTGGCGAAAAAAGTAGCTTGTGATATGGAACCCGTTCTTGTGCCCTACATCAACCTTGGTTTCTCCCATTTGCCTCCCATTCCCATGGCCTCCCCTCCCTTTTAGTCCTCCCTTTCCTTCCGTCGCCCCACCTGTGCTCCCCTGCAGATCTTCGAGGAGGCCCTGAAGCAGATCTGGGCGGTAGCAGAGTGGTTCCAACAGAAATGTGACAATGAACAAGTAATGTTTTCATTCTTTAAGCCATCTCGTTACCTCCCCTTTTACCTCTCCTGTTCTCCCCTCCAGATCTTCGAGGAGGCGTTGAAGCAGATCTGGGCGGCAGCAGAGGCCAAGGGCACGCACACGGCGCCGCCCGCCCCGCACCTCACCTACAAGGAGCTCATCTTCGCCGACCCAAACATCGCATGGGACGCAAAGCTACAGGAAACCAGCCGCCCGGCAGGGCTGAACAGCATCGCAATGGTCGGCTGGCGGCTCACCCTCCGCACTCCCGAATTCCCCGACGGTCGCACGGTCTACATCGTGGCAAACGATGTTACCCGAGGGGCCGGCGCGTTTGGCCTGCACGAGGACATGCTTTTCCATGCGATTACTCTCGAGGCGATCAAGAACAAGGCGCCGCTGCTGTATCTCGCTGCGAACTCGGGTGCGAGGATTGGGATCGCAGAGGAGGTGAAGCGGTGCCTGCATGCCGCGTGGCTGGACGAGAAGAACCCCGAGCGAGGGTTCCATTACCTGTATCTCACTCCGGAGGACTACACTCGAGTGCGGTCGTCTGTGGTGGCGCATGAGGTGGTTATGGAGCCGTCAGGGGAGCGGAGGTGGGTGCTGACGGATATTATCGGCGCTGAGGAAGGTCTTGGTGTGGAGAATCTGTCCGGGAGTGGTGCGATCGCGAGCGTGTTCTCGCGCGCTTTCCACGAGACGTTCACGCTGACATTTGTCACGGGGCGGACGGTGGGTATCGGCGCGTACCTGGCGCGGCTGGGCAGCCGGGTGATACAGAGGCAGGACCAGCCGATTATTCTGACAGGGTTCTCTGCGCTGAATAAGCTGCTCGGGAGGGACGTGTATTCGTCGCACATGCAACTGGGAGGACCCAAGGTTATGGCTGTCAACGGCGTGGTTCACAACACCGTCGCGAACGATCTCGACGGCGTTCTGACGATCCTCCGCTGGCTGTCATACGTCCCGGCGGCCGTTAACCGCCCGCTGCCGATTGTCCCGAAGCCGCTCGACCCGCCGTCGCGCAAGGTGGAGTACAACCCTACGACCTCCTGTGATCCCCGCGCTGCTGTGGCCGGGACCCAGTCTGGTACCCGCTTCCTCCGGGGGATCTTCGACGAGGGAAGCTTCATGGAAATGCTGGACGGGTGGGCGAAGACGGTGGTTGTGGGGCGGGCGCGGCTGGGCGGCATTCCTGTCGGGGTGATTGCGGTGGAGACACAGACTGTGTTCCAGAACATTCCGGCGGATCCCGGGCAGCCGGATTCGCATGAGCGGGTGCTGCCGCAGGCTGGGCAAGTGTGGTATCCGGATTCCGCTGCGAAAACGGCCCAGGCGCTTCTAGACCTGCGTTTGGAGGGGCTCCCGTTGTTTATTCTCGCCAACTGGCGCGGGTTTTCCGGAGGGCAGAGGGATCTATTTGAAGGGGTGCTTCAAGCGGGGTCGCTTATAGTGGAGCATTTGAGGACGTATGATCAGCCGGTGTTTGTGTACATCCCGAGGAAGGGCGAGCTGCGGGGCGGCGCGTGGGTCGTTGTGGACCATCGGATCAACCCGCACATGGTGGAGATGTACGCTGAGGATTCGGCGAGAGGAGCCGTGCTGGAGCCGGAAGGAGTGGTGGAGATTAAGTTCCGGAAAAAGGAGCTGATCGACGCGATGCACAGGCTAGACCCGGAGATTATCGACTTGGATAAGGCCCTACGGGCGGCGAAGCAGCAGCAGGCGCAGGGGAGTGACAATGGGTCGGTGACGGTGACCGAGGGGCTGATTGCGCAGAGGGAGAAAGCGCTCCTGCCTGTGTATACCCAGATTGCGGTTCGGTTTGCAGAGCTGCATGATACCCCGCGGAGGATGGCGGCCAAGGGCGTGATCCGGGATATTGTCACTTGGGAGAATTCGAGGGCGTATTTCTACTCGAGGTTGTGTCGGAAGGTCGCGGAGGACGGGCTTGCAAGGCAGTTCATGTTACAGGTGGATGGGCTGGGGAAGATTGACGCGATTGCGGAGGTGAAGCGGTGGTATCTTGATGAGCAGAGGGTGAAGCGGGGGGAGATTGAGGCGCTCCGGACGAGTGTGGCGATAGATGGGGATGAGTGGGTGGATGATAAGCAGTTCATGGCATGGGTGCAGGGCACGAGGAGGAATGCAGAGGGGTTCAGGAGGAGGGTGATGAGTCTGAGGGGAGGGAGGCTGGCGGCGGTGCTGACGAGAGAGAGGGACGCTGGGAGCATTGCGGACGGGCTGGCACAGGCTGTTGCCAGCGTGCTGCAGGCGGTACGTGGGATGGTGGCGTAGGGGCATGGTTGCACGGTGGTGTGGTGGCATGGGGATACATGGAAATGCATATTGCTCGCTCAGGCTGTGTCGAGTGTGCTGCAGGCAGTACGTGGGATGGCTTTGTGGCGTGGGAATGTATGTGGGAAGGAGTTAATGGGAGTACATGGGGGGTGCAAGTGGGGGAGGGAGTGCATGGGGATATATGCTGCTGGTGCAGGCTGTGTGTCCAGCATGATCCATAGGGTTGTGACGTGGCTTGCAACCTTGTTGGTTTGGTGCCTTTTTACAGTCATCCTCCTTTTCTTTTGTGCTCACTCTTTTCTTCTTCTTCCCCCCCCCCCCCCCCCCCCCCCCCCCTTTTTCTCCATGGTTTGTCTCTCTGGTTTCTGTGCTGCAGCTCCCTGCTAATGCGCGCAAAGATGCTGCCGCCAAGCTCGCCCAAGTGCTGGGTCAGCAGTGAACCCTCCAGCAATAAAGCCTTGACAACATGTTCTCAACCATGGGGTCAAGACGCTTGACTCTTGCTATGAATTCGAAACAATTGTTAGCAAACTATTGATAGCTTCCATACCTCCCACGCTCACCTCTCTCCCACCTCGCTTCTTGGGCAATTTTTAGCTGCACTGCACTGCACATGTACAAACCGCGAGATATGATTCCGGTGCATGGGTATTGGTGCACCTTCAGGCAGAACTAGAGCTCCAGGCTACACACGCCTAACAGCCATTTGAAAGGAACTTACGCTAGTATGTGCATGTCGTGACTGCCAGGTTGACAGAGTAGTTGTGCATCACGATCTAGCTGCTGGGCTTCAATGTTTGTAAGGTCCTGTCCAGCCTCCTATCCATCCAGCCTCCTGTTTCTTGATATGCTCTCATGCTCTTTGGTTACAAGCTTTCTTTTCTCTCCTCCTGGCATCCTCATCCTGTCCTCCTTGCCTGCCCTGCTACCACTGGACTGGCAGTTGTGCTTTCATCAGCTTTTTCATTGTTAACGCCTTCACGTATGTTACGAATAGCAATAAATGTGCTAGAAAGGCATAGTGCCAGCGTAGAGGAAACGTGTTTGTAGAAAGAACAAGATAGAACTCTTGCACTGGAAACGGATTGAGAATTTGATGGATTTTAGGCAATACAAGCAAGCTTGATATAGCATGCATGATCTAATGATGGAAAGTGCTACGTGAGAGACCAAAAGTAGAAGCAAGAGAAGTAGAGTGCCAGATGGCACAAGGAAATCAAGGAGGATAAGGATAAGGGTGAGTTGGAAAGTACTGTTCAAAAGGGAACAGTAAATCCCCCCCCTTATCATGGAGGCTTATAGAGGGGACTACACTAAAACCAAACAGCACACTGGTATACAGTATTCGTTATACTGTATTCGGATTTCCAACACTCCCCCTTGCTGTAGGTTTTAGTGAATCCGTTTTCCTTGGAGGATGGGGTGGTCGAGGTGGTGTACCACCACAAGGTAGGGGTGCGCCCAAACCAAGCTAGGGTTTGGTGGTGGCCAAGCTGCTCGTCACTGTAGCACCTTTCCCCTCCCAAGCCTTTGGTGCTTTCAAACTCCAACCAAACCTCCTCCCTTGATGTTTTCCAATCCCTCCTTCCACTGGCGACTTTCCAGATCTAGATACAGCGCGTAGTGGCTGCTACTGAGGAAATAGTAGCAGCTCCATGACGAAATCTCCTCGTAACCATGGCGAAATGCGTAGATCGTCATGGCGGATTGCCCTTAGCGCACACCGAATTTCCGAAACCGTCAACTTTACGTCACGCGATTGTCAGCGCTGCTGTCTTTTTCGCATGCCTCCTGTGCGACGACAAAAAAACACCGCAGCGGATGTGCGCCTGCGACGACTGCTGATGACGCGAACTGGTAGCGAATAACGCGTGACGTGCGGCTGGCGCAGGCAGGCGTACACGGCGTGCGGGAGAAGCGACGGCTTAGCGGCTGACGATCTGCTGCGCGTCTGCTACACCATTTTCCTGTCCGTGCTTGCTGTATCTTCGTGTGTCGTTTCTCCCCCTGGCTTCCTGCTCTGCCTTTGCCCTTCTCCCCCTGCCTCGGGATGCGATGGCATCAGTTTGTGCAAGTCTTGAATGCACACCACCAGATGATGCTAAGTCTGCCCGAACTTCACCCATGTTGTCATGTGATGCTCCCCCTACACTCCAGATGTATGGGAGCCGCTGGAGTTGCGGAACTTCATCAGCTCGAGTTTGCACATTTCGACGCAAAGCGGGATGACAGGTGCGCTCCAAGTGTGCAGAAATGTGTACGCCAAGGCTGCAGTGCACTCCAGGTGAGCAGTTTTATGCACCCCTGGTATGCAGTAACGCCAAGTAGGTATGCAGATATGTGCACACCAAGTAGACCAGGTATGCAGGAAACTGTGCTCCCGTGTATGTTCTCCGTATGGTGAGTAGGTCTTCCCCGTATGCTTTGTGACCCCATGTCCCAGTTTAGTGCCACTGGATACACTCGACACCCAACCCCCCCCCCCCCCCCCATGTGCTTGTAGGCATGCACGTAACCGCGTACACAGCTACAAGCACGTGAGTGAGTGTGGAGTTAGGTGACGCCATGTGGTGCAGCACCGCTTGAAGAGGCCGCACAAGTGAGCACAACATCAGCATTCTTGACATGGCGAATGTCTCCAGATGGTACACCAGGGGGAATTGGTTGAAGCCCACTCAGAACACTGCAGGTGAGATGCTGCTTGGAGGTGACCGGTTTGGTAAGGTAATCGGCTGCTTGCTTGGTTGTTGGACAGTACTCCAACCATACCACGCCATCACGCACTGCTTTACGGGTCCAGTGGTAACGCACCTCCATGTGCTTGGTGCGCTGACTCATTTGTTCCCCTTTTCCAAGGGCAATCGCACTCTGGTTATCCACATAAAGAACTGTGGGTTCTCTCTGTGGAAAGCCAAGGTCGGCACACAGTCGCCGCAGGTGAGCTGCTTCCCTTGCTCCTTCAAACATGGCGATGTACTCAGCTTCTGTTGTGGAGGTAGCGATGACCGTTTGCCGTTTCGTCCTCCAGCTGACAGCAGCTCCCCCCAGCGTAAACACATAGCCGCCCACCGAGTGACATCCAACCTCATTTGCATAGTCAGAGTCTGTGTATCCACGAAGCACCAAGTCTCCTTCTCCATAAACCAATCCAATCTCAGCCGTATTCTGCAGATACTTGAACACACGCCGAATTCCGAGCACAGTTGTTGCCGTTGGCTTGCTGGCCTGTCTGGCGAGCACATGCGTGGCAAAGGTGATGTCTGGCCTTCCTGCTGTAGAGACATATAGCAGCGCCCCAACCTGCTGCATCACCCGCTGATTGTCCACCTCTTCAGGTGACTCCCCCTGAGGTCCAGGTTCCTTGGAAATCGGCGTTCGTACTCCAGAGCGGCACTCCTCCATCCCATAGTTTGCCAACGCTTGTTTGATGTACTTGGTGAGTCCCAATGATATGGTGTTGCGGGAAGTAGTAACATTCAAACCCAGAAATTGTGTCATGGTCGAGTTGACGGTCAAGGTGAAGTTGTCCTTCAAGTGTTGAATGACTGCTTGGATGCCTTCCTCATCATTAGACTGAATGAGGATGTCATCCACGTAAGTGAGCAGCCACACCGTATCTTTTCCAGCCCTCCTCCAGATGAACAGTGATGGATCAGACTCCGACTGCATCATTTCCAGCTCCAGCAGTACTCCTCGTAAGTGTTGATGCCACAATCGAGGTGCTTGTTTCAGCCCATAGACGCTGCGCCTGAGCTTCCAAACCTTGTCTCCATCACGTCGAGGTTCAGGTGGTCGCACGTACACATCTCTGTCAATTGGTGCATAAAGAAATGCGTTGGAGATGTCCAGCTGCACAACTTTCCGCTTCGTTGTTGATGCGCCTGCAACAAACATGCGTGAAGTAGGTCCTTGGCTGACCGGGGCGTATGTCTCATCATATGTTCCCCACGTCTGTCCACAGCCTTTCACCACCCACCGTGCCTTGAACCTGCTTGGCTGGCCTTTGTCATCTCGTTTGACCCTGAAGATAATTCCCTCCGTCAACACCGGGACTCCCTTTGGTACGTCCGCCCTGTCCACCACTTCATACGCTCCCAGCTCGTCAAATTTGGTGAGCTCCGCGTTGACTGCCGCTTGCCAAAAAGGTGCGTATGGATCCGTGGTCAGTTCTTTGAGTGACTTTGGCTCTTTGTAGGTCAGGTCGACCATGGGCACAGTCGCAGCTGCACATCCCAACACGTGTTGCTGTAAGCTGGGAAGGCTGTTGACTCCTTGTGGCATGTCTTCCTTAGTCCACATGACTTGCCCTGCTTGACGCTTTCCAAGTAGCACGTCCAGCCCTGTTATGCGGTGCGCAGCTTGCCCTTCTTCTCCGAGCACAGTTACAGTCGGATCAAAGTGAACTCGTCGTTGTGGTGCACCTTGTTCGGTCAGTGGAATTCCTTCAGGTGGGTAGGCAAAGTCATAAAGGTGACATGTCTCGTTCTCCATGCCATGGTCGTCCCCGTTCTCTGAAATAGAAACACCTGCCGCAGGTATGTCATTGGTTGCAGCTCCACTTGAATCAGCTGCGTCGGCTGCAGGTGAGTCCTTGTCCATTCCTCCAGCAGGGGTACTGCATACTTGGTGTCCAGTTGGCATATCGGTTGATGACGCGGAAGAGGATGGGGAGGACGGAAAAGGATCGAACTCATGCTCAATTTCTTCTCCCCCTGAAGTCCACTCCGCAACGTGGGGTGAGACTTCATCGACATAGCGTTGACGTTCGAGGAGAGATTCTGCGTCCGGCAACATGAGGTCATCAAAGAAGCGAGCAGACCGAGTGTCCGTGTCCACGTCACTTGCCATGTCCCGCACGATCCACGCTTTCCGAACGTTGGAGATGCCGAGGAACATGCCAGCTCGGCCTCTCTGCTCAAACTTGCCAAAGCTGCCTTGTGGAGGAAGGTAATAGCAGAGGCAGCCAAAGGTTCGTGCCATGGACACGTCCGCAGGTT